GAAGTCGCTGCCCGCAGGTGAAGATGCGTTCGTGGGATCTAGCGCAACTCTAGTCTTCACAAAAACCCGCGCTTCGACCCGGCGGCTCCGTATAGCCCCTGTCTGTTGCAAATGCAAAGAATTAGGAAATGCAGCCTTTCTCGTCACCGCAGAGTTCATGTACTCGGAAGCGGTCCGAGTAAGAGGGAGCACGATCCTAAAAAACACCCCGGGACAGTGCTTCGTTCAAGTTCCAAGGCTGTGGCATGAGACCGTATCGAAACATGCAAGTCGACAGTTATTCCGTCGTTGTTCGGAGAACGACTTTGCCCTGGGAAGAGATACCGTGAACTGTCGCCCTGACGGGAGCGAAGAAATCTGTGTAAGTCGCGAGGCACCGAAATGACGGAGTCGCGGTGTGTCGCTCGAGAAGACCGATTCATTGTTAACTTCGGTAGAAATGAAACAATTAGCGGCCGATTCATTCTCCCTCGGGTGACGCAAGTCGGCTAGGCTTCGTCGACTCGTCAGTGTTAGTTAGTCAAGGTGAACTCATGGGATCCGAGAAGAATTCCGAAGAAGATGTCCATAGTTTCATTAGTGAACGGCTACCTCCAGCGTTTCCGTCTCGCCTCTGTAACCAATGAATTACTATACGGGCCGGCCGACCGACCGACCGACCGGCCGGCGAGCCACCGACGGACAGATGATCGGCGCATAGACGGACACTGAACCGAATAAACGACAAGTAGACAGAGACTGGCTGAGAAAAGTACGGTGAGCGACTCCGACACAAGCAGCATCACGAACGACGCCGCCGATCTCCGTCGACGTCGGCACTCATTGGCGAGAAGGATCAGTCGTTACCACAGTCGCCACCGCCTCATCATGATTCCTTTATTCGTTTTCTTGATCTACTCTTGTCTCTGCTTCTCCTCCGAGGAACCTTAGTTCGCTGCCGTCATCTAACACGACGCGCAGCTCCAAGTAAAGAAGCACCCGACCAACCGAGCGAGCGAGCAAGCAAGCGATCAGCGGCGTCACCAGTGCGTTAAGGACTTGCCGGCCGATATCCAGTCCGCTCACCGAAGTTCGCATAGCATACTCGGCATGAAACAATAACCGTACGATATTCAAGCGTAGCAGATGGTCTATTTCATTGACAAGCTTTGTCGACGATCGTCGATCCGCTGCTGTTTAGAGCCTAAGTGAAGAGCTTTGACTGGATTAGCGACTTCATTCTACACACCTGATTCCCCAGTCGCTTCGAAACTAAGTCATCTTGAAATAGGGACTAGAGAAGGGTGGGGGGCTCATCGCTCATGAATACAGATAGCATCCGAGCAGGTGCTCCGTGATCCCGTGTTGTGAAACTGCTAAGGAACAAAATCCTCAAAGGCCGTTTTGAGGGAAATCGCTCCTGAGGCGAGCTCAGATTCCTGCCAAGAGCGGTCGTCCTCCCTCGGAGCCACCGGAGAGAGGTCAAGTGCTTCGGAGGATCATCCATGACTGAGTCTAGCTGCAATTTTCGAAATATTCCTCGGCTGCTACCCACGAACGGGATAGACGAGAGAGTCGAGAACACTCCGATCGGGACTTCCGACGAAGCAGCGGGGAGCGGAATAGCGCAACTTGAAAAACATGGAAAAACGCCCAGGTCATGGTCTTCGTTCAGGACACACTGGACATTAGATTATTTGGGATCATGAATATCTGGGATTGGACGAGATCGCAGTCGCTAAAGGCTTTCCCGAAGCTTCTTTTCACGAGGAGCGTAACCCCCTTCCCCCCACCTATATCAATCATGTGCCGAAAATTCTCCCCGTGTTGCGGGACTGACCACTGACTGAGACTTCGAGCGTAACGGAGGATGGCCTGGTGCAGAAGTAGTCTTCAAGGAGGGAGTCTCATGCACGGGAATCCCCCGCCGTATTCGTCTATGGTCTAATAGACCGTGGGCATTACTGAACTAGTAAGACATAATTAGCTGTTCCGCAAGTGCCTATCGACGAGCACGTGAGTAACAGAACAGTTTCTGCTTTCGTTGCGGCTTGAGGTGCAGAGCGTTTGTATTTTTCTGGCGGCGGTTGCTTTACGTGGAGCACGCGTTCGCCGTGAGCGCTGCTGGGTGAGGGATAACAGTAACAGCCCAGGAAAGGGGAGCTTCAGAGCTCATCACTGTAGCACCACAGATGGTCCACGCCCTTAGCGCGGAGCAGAGGGGAGACGAACGGGATGACAACGAACGTCATCACGTACTCTAGAAGATAGCAGCATCATAGTGTCAATCGATTGTATTTGGTTGAGTGTGCTCATTCGAAAAAGTTCAATTTCGACCAACAACGGATTTCCGATCGAAGTTTTCGCGGTTTTGCTCAAACTTTCTGCGTGGTGTCCCTCCTCCCTAAGTTCTCGCTCAGGAGCCCGCCAGAATACGAAAGGTAGGCCTTAGGTGGAGATGAGGATGCGCTCACTCCGGATGTGACGAGAGCACGGCTTCCGGCTAGGCAGTTGCTACAACGCTCCGCCCGCTGACGGGGGTCGGCTTGATTTTGAAACTACTTCTTTAGACTCCCGCCCATACTTAACTCCCCTGAGAACGTCTTTGGATTTCGATGACGCTTTTCGCGGTGGGTGCTAGTAATTGTTGAGGATCGTCAATTTATATGCTGAGAAATCATCCGTGCAATCTACTAGCTTGAAAATCACTTACGCCTTCTGTTTAGTCGAGAGGACGCGGAACTTTCTCTCGCAATTTGGGACACTCCCACTACGACGCACAGAGTTCGGAAGCAGAAAAAAACGGTTATCGCTGAAAAACCCATCCCTTCTCGCGGGTCCAAATGTTTGGATATGGGCTTCATATTATAAGTTCTGTGACTCCGCGGACCATTGTGGTCCCCGGCGGGCATGAGAACACGAGAAGATGAACTCGAGAATCGAGTTCGAGCTTCTCATTGATAAAAAAAAAAAATTTTCTCTGGAGCCTGAGCTCCGGCGAGAAGGTTCTTCTCGGGAGCAAAAATGTGTCAAAAGAGCCGCGTTGCGAACAAGCGTCGCGTTATTCCATGGTTGGGGAGGATGCCTCGGATCGACTGCGTCGCGCGTTTGATTCCAAAATGAGACGGCTGCCACGGCCCAACGAGTCCCGTTGAAGCTTGGCGTTCAAACCTTGTATAGAGAACGATCGGCAGAAAAACATGTTTGTGGAATCTTGCGGAGGATTATGCCCGAAGAATCGGAAGCCCGATCCCTGGCATCCTTTCCCAGACTGAGATTCGCTCATGTATCAAAAGCAAGCTGTTCACATATGGGAGGCGGGGTCGGGAATCGTGAACGCGGCTACTGCCCCAGAGCTTAGCCACTCAGTCTTCGGCAGGCGACATCGATTCTGCGCTCTAAAACCTTTTCAACTCTCATGCTGGATGTAGTAATTGGGAAAAATCGCGATTCTCTCTTGTCGAGGTCAAGTTCGACGTTGGGGCGTTTCTGGGCGGACCACGTCGGAGGAATTGAGTTCCGAATCCCTCAGGCAGTGCCCGAGCCCTCCGCGATCTCGGACTTTCTGCGGAAAACATCTATCGAGTCGATCACACCTCGAATACGATCGGAGCCAGCTTCAAGCAGGAAGACTCGATGATCCGCAACTCGGCGTATCATTCAGTTATATGAACTCGACGACTGACAAGCGGTCGGTTCTGTTCTCCGCGGTCGGCAGTGCGCTTGTTCTTTCTGTCTGGCTGGCTGGCTTGGTCGACTGGCTGCTTGGCTAGTCAGTAACGACTGACGCTGAAGCTAATGGAGGGTCAGTGGCCTCTCTCTTTGACCAAATGATGTGAGCGTAGAGCATATTCGCAACGTTCTACGAGCACTGGGGTTACGTTTGATGATTTTCGCAACTCTTATTGTGTTCGGCTGGTCCGTAGTCCGCGAAAAATATGCTCGACAATTACACATTTGTGTTTCCTCTGTTTTCATTCGGACGAGTCGTGTTACAGAAAACTCGTGATCGCCGGATTATCCAGAAATTAATCATTCCCGCTGTCGTGCAGCGAAGCCACAACTCATCGCGTCCGAATGATACACTAAAGACACCTTTCTGTATATGCATTGGGGAGAAGGGGGAAGTCTCTATATTTTCGATTTCGAGAGTAGCAATCTCCTCGCCCTGGGGCAGCTCCCGCGCTCCTTGCGCGACCCGCATGACGGGCTGGGTCCACGATCTTCATTTCCGAATCGCAATGCGTGGCATACCAAGGGTCGGACGACTTGTTTCCCACTGTCGGCACGAGGTGATCGTCTCGAGACTTGAATCGGTTATTTCGATGAAAGTTTCGGTTCATTAAAAATGGCGTTGCGTCGATAGCCCAGCCCCGAAATCCCCGCCGGGATTACTCGACGATAGGTTCAGGGTGGTGAGCGACGGAGCAGGTGATATTGTCGCTGCCCGTGAGCAAGCTTGTTCTCCGCGAGTTTTTATTCATGCCTTAGGTACCGTGGATTGAATGCAAAGCTCGGAAGTTACAGCGAATCGAGGCTCGCAAGCTCGATTGGGTCAATATCAGTTCCCAGCGAAATTTTCACCTCGCGATGAATGGCATGGATCGCTAAGAAATTCCCGTGGCGAATAGGAAAATGAATTTTGAAGACATCGAGTGATGGTAGAAGCAACCCCGAGTAGGCTGCGAATATGCAATTTGCCAAACGACTCAATCGCACGCATTGCAGATTCGCATCCGGGGAGTCGTTTCGGGAATATTTTCTCAGTTTGACCAGTTTTTTACGTGAAAGGAAGTCGACGACACCGGAGCGCGAACCGCGATGCGATCATTCCGTGAGCATTGATCCGACAAGGAGCCTTCTGAAGAGATGCCGAAACATTTGGAGATTCTGCAGGGCGATCTCTACCTCGATGGATATAATTCTGGTGCTTAGCGAAAATAATTGAAAAGAATCCTCACTTCTGATTTCAGGGGCCCGACAATTGGAATCGAGCTGGCTCATCGAAATATTAAGAGACAATGTCGCGGAAAAGTCTGGATCTCGACGAAGCAGCATCTTTGATGGACGACTTATCGATACAGGGCGGAGACATTGAAATAGTTCCCTCGGTGAGAAACGAGTGTCTTGCGAGCAGCAACAACAACAACAACAGCAGCAGCAGCCACAACAGCAACGATAAGAACATCGATAACAGCGACAATGACAATAGCGATAACGGAGAAAGCGACAACGAAGGCGCGGAGCTTCTTGCTTCTTCGAAATTAACCGTCGAGCCACACAGTCCTTACTCACGACCGTCACTGCCACCACCCTCACCGCCACAGCCTCTGGAAACCCAACAGTCACAACAAGAACAACAACAGCAGCAGCAGCGACAAGACTATCAACCAAAGCAACAAGCACACGGACAACAACAACACTCGCAAGAAGTACAGGACCCAAGAGAACAAAAAAAGAAATCACACAACACACACAAGCTGTTCTTCGCTTCGCCACTCCTTCAGCTATTGCTATCCCTGAAGTCGTTGTAGCAGCCTCGAGCGACGAGTCACTCCAAACTTCGGCACTAGCGGGCAACAAGCGAAATTCTCTCAAGGTATCTTCACTTACGAACACGAATACACCCCGTTCAACATTCCCATTTAGCCGCTATTGATGATGAATTTAGGGAGCTTCTTGGACCCTTAATCCCATGTCTGGTGGATGCTTTGAGCTCGCTCGCCGATTCTCACTTTTTCTATTATGCTTTGTGAACCCTCTCCGGAAGAAATTCGACATCTGTCGCCGACCTGTGTGGGTTTCCCGAGGGGATTCAGGTTCTCATTTGCATGTGATTCCCTTGGGAAACCGGAAATTCTCGAACTGTGTCTGCTGCTCTTCGACCTTTTCCCCGTACGGGCGTCGCACTTCCTGCCCGTTCGCTATCCCCACCGGTACACGATCGCGAATCCATAAGTCGGGAAACCTGGCGCCGATCGAGGAACGGGAGGTTTATCCGAGAACCGATCCGATCACGTTTTCTAACGGAAGCTTTTCTTTCTTTTTATTCATTCCTCGTTTCTGGGCGATCTGTCCTCGAAGGCCCGAACTAACTCCAACCTCGAAAGAGACGAAACCTGGTGACGGTGGTGAAAGCTAATGTTAAGGTGCTGCCGTATAGGCGAACTGCATTCACCATTACCACCAGCAATCCACCCCGTTCATGACCCCTCATCCAAAACTAACGCCGTCCGAAGGGGAGCACCTAAGAAATCCCTTGCTAGCCGGTTTGTCTGCACACCAGAGGAGACAGCACCGTGTCAACCAGGTTTGTGGGGGTCGCTGCTTCTTCCATGTCGTGTTCTTCTGTCACCCCGTCGAGCACGCGAAATTTCGGTCTTCTTCTTCCATATCGCGACTCCGCAGGCGCGAGCGATTGGTCCAAACCTAGTCCCCTTCTAGTCCGCTTTGCTGTAGCCTCTGCCAGTCGGTCATCCGCCTTGACGAGCATCGAACGCACGAACAAACGACCGACCCAATCGTCGGTTGCTGTTCATAGCGAGGCTCCGAGCAAGGCAGGGCTCATACAAACGACTTGATTACAGGCTTCCGTCGATATGCCTGCAGCGTTCCCGCCGCCCCCTCCACCGCCACCGAATCAGAGCCACGTTGGAGGACAGAACGCTTCACCCGCGCAGAGGCCCGCTCCACCGGTTGCTCCCCTAGCTTCCTTCGAAAAGGCCACCATGTCGTCAAGCGTCAGGAAAAGCTCCGACGTGTTGCCGGCTTCTGGCGACAGCTCTCTCACCAAGCCCTCGAGGTAACCCGAATACACGGACGGTTCTCGGACCGCGAGCCCAATTGATATGCGGATCATTATTATCGACCGGAGCTCCATCGTCGATCAACAGGATTCCCGAGCGCGGACGCCACCTCCACCCGTTGCAGCATCCTGAATACGAAAGTTGAATGCGTTGACTCAGAGCTGTTCTTTTCTTCTCGTCCCTTCCGTAGCCGTCGTAGATTGAAATGGAACACTTGCAATTTGCTCTCCAGTCTCTACGGGCAACTAATCGTGGTGATTACAGCCATTCTGATGCTCACAGAAGTCATGGACAACCCGATGCCTCTACTCTCGTTTCATGTGAGTTATAACGCATCCGCATTCAGGAGCTTTGTTTCCCCCGATCTTCTCCGAGACCGCTGCGTTCCCGGTGCGAATCGGTCTCGCCAGTTCGTGACTGGGAGCTGATTTCTCCTTTCGGTTGCAGGGGTATTTGTACGCGTACCTGATCGGAGGCTCGTGCTTGTTTCTGCTTTTCATCTACGTTTCGTCGATACTCGACAAATGCCCATCATTCAGCAGCCCATCGTCATCCAATAGCTCGTCGTCTTCGTCTTTGTCCGACGTGGAAACTGCGACCTACCGAGGGACGACGTGTGGCGTCGGGACTCGGAAACTGCACAAGTGCCCCGTCGAAGTCAGCTGTTATCTACGAATCGGACTTTTAGGTATTCTCGAACGGAGAGCTTTGCGTCGGACTTTTTCCGCCTCTTTTCCCACGGACTTTTTCCACCGGTAGCCCAGAGGGAGAGCCTAACGATTCGGAGACGATTTCAGTTTTCGGTCTCGGTACCCTCATCGCCGTCGGACTGGAGCTCAGCAGCGTATTCACCCTTCAGACTCCGTGCTCGGATACACTGAACCTGTCGATTCCAGTTCTTCATGCCTGTTTCGCTTTCATGCAAATGCATTTCCTGTTCATCAATGTTCAGGTCGGTATCGTTGTATGACAGGCCGAGACCGGAACGCAGTGCGCGCGAACGTCGCAGAGCTGTATATTTAGTCTTGAACGGAGACTGTCGCGGAACTCAGGATTTATTAGATCTTGACGATTTCCTCCGCAGCATGCCTCGGATACCATGGGCTGTCTTCGGCATGTGGCGCTCATGCACTTGATCGCAACCAACGTAGCTGTGTGGTTCCGACTCGTGCTCTGGGGTGTCTATCAAGAATGGATCGGTTCCAGTCACCGATCCCATGCCGCCGACATCATATTCCCTCCTGCCGACTTCATGCATCGGGAACATGTTCTCGACAAAGAAGGCAACCACAAAGTTTTCGGTACGTATCGCTGATTATTATTATCCGGTTGAGTGATGGACGCGCGGTCGTTCCGACCCAGCAGCGTCTCGATTCGATTTGAGTTTGATGGTCTCCGTCATTGGGAGTGAATTAAATTCTCGGTCTTCACAGTGACGAAAGAATGTCTGTGGCAAACAGAAGAGGATGCAGCCCCCGAACGCTATCTTCTCTTGGACGCATGCCTGCGGAACAGTACCCTGGGCCACATATGGCAGCGAGCGATGCCTTTTCTGACGCCGTTCATCGCGCAATACTGTGTCGTGGCCATCGTCGTGTTGTACGTCGTGTGGGATAGCTACCACACCGTGTGCTCGCGACAAGGTTGGTATTGAAATCGAAATTCAAACGACAAGCTGCTCGCGAAGCAGCGCTCCATCGCCTTCATTTATCCGAGGACGCGTAGTCTAATTTTTCCCTTATGATCCCTCCCGACAGCCTGCAGTCAATCGTATACCGTAAGCAGCTATCCCGCTCGAGGATCCAGCGGTGGCTCCTACGACACTCTCCGCAACAGAAACAGGAACGCTGACTGTCAAGGAGGATCTAGGGGACTGTTCCTCGGCTTGCTGGTTCTAGCCTCTGGTGAGATTCAGCCCGAGCTGTCATCCGTAGCTTACTCGACCCCTCTCCAATCTGTGGTATCCGTTTTCGAACTCGATGCCTCGGCGATTCCAGGTATCATCGTTCTCATCTTATACTTTGTGCTGAGCCAAGAAGGCTTGGAGGCGGACACGTTCATGGCAACCAGTGTCCTGCATGCCGTTATTGAGGCTCTTTCGGCTGCAGCTTCGCTCCTCGGCCTGCTGCAAATCGCTTCACTGCCAGTTAGACATAGTCGGAGCAGCAACCTGTCGGTGTTACTACACCGCTTCGGAATCATCGCTGTTATAGTTTTCGCAGCTTTCTCGTGCGTGATAGGGGCCGCTAAGATCCAAGATATCAATCACGCACTCTTAGTCATCGACGGCGGAGCCATGCTCGTGCACGCTGTCTCTCAAAGTTTGTTCGTCCAGGTGGGTTCGCGTTGAATGTATAATCATTATCATGTTATAATTATTGTTATCGGTTATGACTTCTCACATCTCACTGGGAGATACAGATTTAATGTACGGATCTTAGCGAGGATTACGTCTGATTGCCCTGACCCCCTCCCGCAGGAACTCGACACTCGACAAGCCGATCGCAAGAACTGCCGCAAGGGCCTGCAGGTGGTGACGTTCCTGGTATTCGCCAATCTCGTCCTTTGGCTCATGGAAAGCTTTACGAACCAAAATTATCTAAACAACGAATTAGCTCGCGAGATGTACGGCCCGCTGACATGGAGCATCGTAGCGAGAGTTTCGACGCCTCTCGTGATCTTCTTCAGATTTCATTCGTGTGTATTCCTGGTCGAAGCTTGGCGGAGATCTAGAGCACACTGCGGATAGGGCAGCATTTGCAAAGCTGCCCTATGCGGAGCGAGAAGACACCACTGTAGAAAATCTCGGACAAAAATTAATTGTCGAAGATGCAGATTTTGACTGATAGGCTCGCTCTCCCTCTCCCTGTCTCATCCCTGGAGGACGCTCCCCTTGCGACCTCGGAACCCGGTCGGGATACACCGAAGATTCGAACACTTTGGTTGGGCACGCACCAACACATAACATTCTACTCCATGATTCTCTGCGTCGAGCCTCCAGGGCTACATTCGATTCATGGGTTCGGCGACGAGGGGATGAGAATCCTCACCTATGATATTTACTCATTCACCGTGGCGCTATAAGCAGACGCACTCAGGTGGTCGGCAAGCGAAACCCATTTTCATACTCAGAGGTTCACTTTCGTCTCACGGGCCAGTAGTGGAGAAATCATAGACTTCATCATCAGCAGCGGAACTTCAACATCCGAGAGACATTCAAGGGGAACTCCGAGCGGTTTTTTTTGGAGTGCCTCTTACAAAACATTCGAAATCCAGTAATCTTCTGTAGAATACTCGCAGCTTCCGGCTCCAACAACTGCCAGCTAAACTGCGAAAGGACATCCAAATGAGCAGCAACAGCGACACTATGTTGGAGCGTGGAAATTGGCCGAGCTGGGTTGGTTGAGCGCGTCAATAGTCAGATAGGAATTCGACATTCATCGATTCCGCCCTCTCATAATCCGAACATGGAATCATGGACGCGAGGAACCAGGAGATGGATATCGCCGGAAGAGAAGCTCATTTTCGGAACAGGCCTTGAAAGGATAGATCTCGGGCTTCGCGACTTTCCTTCGAAAACTGTAGTTCACCGACTCCGAGCAAACGTTCATGAATGGGACGAGCGAAAATGCCGTTTGTTCTGACTACGATATTGTTCCATACCTCATTCATTGGCGCTCTCCCACTCCGCCCAGTCAGTCAGATCATAATAATCATAACTCATCTTCGGTCGCTGCCATTATGAACACACACCGTCTCTCACGTGTGGAAGGAGAATACATGTGAGGAGATGCGCGGCACTTCGAGATGTGAAGTTTTATTCTACTCATATCCTGAATGTGGACATATACGAACGCACATTGGGAGTTTGATGGGAAATGGACGCCGCATGCCATTTGATAGCAGCTGGGCTTCGTGAGAAAGGATTGCACGATAAGCTTCAAGTACCTACACAGGAAAAAAACGCATTTCTGCTCAGGCCTTTCACGATCACCAACACCGGAGCAAGGGATACTTTCGTGCGAAATTCTGCAAGTGTGACAGGAAAAGGTTTAAATAGGAATTGCTTCCGTCGATGTTCCTCTTGCTTAACGAAGAGGGAGGAGTTCGAAGCAATCGACGCTCTCAATCTCATCGACTTCTATCGTCGGACAACGAGGTGTCGATCAGATGAACATCGGCATGTATCAACTAAAATATGTATGCAAGTCAATAGGTTAAACCAGAAATTTGTTGTCGAAGAAATTCGAATAAAAAATTGTTCACTCAAGCTCCGGGGGAATTCATTCATGTGCCACTTCCCCGTGATAGTTCAGAGCTGATTGAAGCTCGCTTCGGTTTCTGGTTCGTTGCATCCCCCATCACGCTAATGACGAATGACGATCCCTCATGAGAAAAAAGATGATTTGTATGAATTTTACCTTCACCACTCGAATCCGCCAGGATATCTCCGTGCAGCCCCAAGGAGCTTTCGACTGACATCCATATCGAAGAAACTGTCTCTGACGGAAAGAATCAGGAATCGGGTCTACTGACGATTCTGGATCCGGTCTCCTGTGACGCAGCTATTCGGAACGAAACTCGGTTATAGGGGGGAAGGCGATATCAGGCGATACGGGATATCGGAGCGCGAGATGCGAGTCCTGATCCGAGACCCCAAATCACTGCCTACCCATCGGAGACGGCGGGGATAGCGGTTTGATAAGGGGAGGCGCGAGGGTCGGGCTCGGATGATCGCGTGTAAGTGGATTTTCGGAAGGATCATCCGATGGTGAGAATTGGGTTTATTCAACCCCTTTCTCATAAGGTTTTCGTCATAAAAAAAAGGTCTTTCTCGAGCCGCTTCATGGCGAGCACTGCTTTCCATTCCGATAAGGATCATTTATCTGCCATTTGTCGCATCCAGATATTAATCACGCGAATCCCTTCCGCAGTCCCCAGTGTCCCGAGAGCAAAAAGAGAGAGTGTCTTTCCAATTTACATTTCCTTTCGAAGATTGGCGCCGTAGGTAGTCTGCTTCGCGCACGCGTACTGCGTCTGCGAGGACGCCATTTTGAAAGTTTGAATTGTAGCTTGCTTTTGGCGCGAGCGGGTGGTCAGTAGAAGAAGCGTGACTTGCACGGCAGTGTATTGCAATGAACAAGCCGAAGCCGACAAAAATGCAGTCGGAACGTGCAAAGGGCCCACCCGATTTCATCAAGAACGAGAGTGGAAATGACACTTACAAAGTTGGAGCTTTCCTCGGCAAGGTGAGCGACCTCGATTCCCCGACGGGCCATCTCCAACGACTCCATTTAAAGGGAAGCAATCTCCGTCGACGAGGTCAGCTGCGATATGAGAATTCATCGATGTGAATCGGGAGTGCTGACAGAGAGATCGGACATCACAGTTTTTCGACCGCTGATTGGACCCCAACGCGAGCTAGCTCCCTGAATCACCCTCCCGGAGATCCGAATTAAATGTCTATGCTCGGTCACGCGCGACCAAACTCTCAGTACGAAACTCGAGCCTATTGAGACTAGAAATCTTTCTTGACGGCGGATTTGGTGTCTTCCTCTACTTCTTTCCGATGGGATGTTTTTAAGGCTGAGAACTTTTCGCTCCCTTATCTTTCATCACGAATTTCATGTGGGTCGGAATTCGGAATGTCGATGTAGAAACGCTCATCGTGCAAATTCGTCGATATCAATCGAAATGAGCTACGCGGGAAACGATGTTGGAAGGCTTCCTCGATAATATTCTTCCTGCGCGTGCGAGCAGTGTGTAGTTCTGTGAGCACCGTATCAACAACGGTTCGGGGGGTCCCTCGGTGTGCGTCGACAGTCGACGGCGCCAGCGCTGTCTGGTTCGTCAAGTAGCTTTTGCCATGTCGAGTGTTGGCTGCGCGGAGGAGCAAGCTTCCCGCCGAGGAGCTCCAATCCGCAGAGGAATCTCCTATTCAGCCTCTGGAGAGCAGTGACGGTTGCGGAAATCTTACATTACTGACAGCTGCTCCTCGAGGTTGTTTCGATCGAGTTCTACCGTCATCATTTCCGTCCTCCTGGCTCACTTCACGTAAACGTCGCAGATGATCGCACAAGATTTCATGAGTACGCTCATTCGAAACGAATTTTCCAGGGTGGTTTCGCACGATGCTTCGAAGTGACTCACGAAAAGACGAAGAACGTCGTGGCTTGCAAGGTACGATCGAATTCCCGCATAGGATGTCAATCAGAGCCTGAAATTAGAAGCGAATATCTATTCATCCTCGGTCGTGAATTTTCCTTCAGATTGTCTCGAAGAGCCTGCTAGTCAAGAAATATCAGAAGGAGAAAATGATTCAAGAAATCAGGATTCACAGGAAATTGAAGAACCCCCATATTGTCAAGTGAGTAATCTGATACCTGATTGTTTCACATGGTCTGACCGAGCGATGGATCCACCAATCCTCGCCGTCTCGGAATTTTTCGGATACAAACGGAGGGTTCCTCTTTCAGGTTCTTCGCCAGTTTTGAAGATAGCGATAATGTTTATGTCCTCCTTGAGCTATGCAAAAGGAGGTCTCTCATGGAGGTTCTGAAGCGACGCGGGAGGGTAGGTCTCCCAAGTATTCGCATATAGTGAAGATATCCTGGCCGTTCAGACTTGGCTGACGCTGTTTGTCATTCCAGTTGACTTACCATGAAACAAGATTTTTCATGCACCAGTTGTTAGAGGGAGTTTCTTACTTGCACGGATTGCGGATCATCCATCGTGATCTTAAACTCGGGAATCTACTCCTCACCGAGGTGAGTCTCTCGGGCGACTCCGCGCCTAACGCGAGATCCACGTAACAATGATCCTCGCTCCTCGCTGAATGTCATTATCGGAGAGCTCGGATCTCAAAGAGAGCAAATGTTACAGGACATTCAATTGCGGATCGGCGACTTCGGCTTGGCAACCGCTCTAGACAGTGATCACGATCGGCGCAGAACACTGTGCGGTACCCCGAACTATATCGCACCGGAGATCCTCGAAAAGTCCGGTCACTCGTATGAGGTACGGGAGCGTCTCCATCGTACATCGCCCAAGGCGGTAGATGGATCTCGCAGAGAAGCATCTGCCGATCGAGATTCGTACGATTCCGCCGCCACATTCTCTCACCGCTTTATTGTTTGTAGGTGGACATCTGGTCGTGCGGTTGCATCATCTACACGTTGTTGGTCGGGAAGCCGCCTTTCGAGACAGAGGATTTGCAGAAGACATACGAGAAAATCAAACAAGTCGACTACAAGATCGAGAAGAAATTCATTCCCACTGTAAGAGAAGCGCCTCTCTTCGCTGCCCTAGAATTCTTACCCTCTCCGAAGTTTCTCCTTCGGCTGGAATCGTATGTTCTAATGATACGAATAGTCTCGAATTTTCGGCTGGAGAAATTTTTAGTAGGAGATTGAATTTCCATCCGCAGCTGGCACATCAAATGATAGGATCCATGCTCCAAAAAATCCCCTCCCGACGTCCAATGGCCACCGCACTTCTCCAGCACGCTTTCTTCACTGAATCGCCGCTGCCTCAAGCTCTGCCAGAGTCCATCCTCACTACAGAGCCTCGTCTCGAGCCGGGTCGCCGGGTTCTCCGGGAGTTCCAAGGTTCCGACGTGACTTCTATTGCAAACGGAATTAAGGGCTTGGTCCATGTCGAAGAACAGCAGGTCGCCCTGAAACATATCGACTCACTCGAAGAACAGCTCAAAGCACTGATGTCGTCCAAGTTCAAAGAGACGGATCTGCTCCCGATGGATCGAGACGACGCGGCCGATCCCGCGTCCATGCCCGTTTACTGGGTTTCGAAATGGGTTGACTACACTGATAAGTATGGTCTGGGATACCAACTGAATGACAACTCTCTCGCTGTTCTCTTCAACGATAACTCGAGAATGGTTCTCATCGGCTCCGATCAGGTATTTGTTGCGGAGGGAAATAATCCCTCTTTAGGATGCTCGGAGGCGTTCTCGTACGTCGCAGTCAGTCGACATACTGTTCTTCGTCGGGACTCGAGCGATTCGTTGAATGAATTCCACGTCTTTCCGCAGGTTCATTTCATCGATCACAAGAATGTCGAAAGTTACCACACGATAACGGATTATCCGAAAAATCTAGAGAAGAAGGTCATCTTGCTGAAATACTTCAGGTGCGCGACGCTGAACAACTCCATGATGCTCTTTCGACTCATCTCCCGGCAATTATCCCTCGCGAAACGGGATTGAAGACACGAAGTAATCTCCCGACTTTATCCCTCAGACAATACATGCAACAGCATCTAATGACAGCCGGAGCCGACGCCCCAGCACCCCGCACGAATGCCGTGGCTCGCTTACCGTATTTACGCGTCTGGTTCAGAACTCAGTCGGCCATCGTCTTGTTCCTCTCTAATGGAACACTTCAGCTGAACTTCTTCCGGGATCACACGAAGATCATCCTCTGTCCCCTCATGGGGGCCGTTTCCTACATCGACAAGAATAATAACTTTAGAACTTACTCGCTGAAAACGATGCATGAACGTTGCCCCTCAGAGCTGGCAGTGCGGCTGAAGTACGCGCAGAACATCTGTGGCAAGGTGAGAGTGGAAGTCGGGCGGGATTCATCCAAGGAGACGTCGAAATAGACGCTTTTCCTCCAATCGACGTACGAACTAGCTCGCGGTCGACCCCCGATCGCTCACCTTCGTTTGGCTGCGAGTTTTGGCCAAGGGGGAATGGATGAAAAAAAATGGATGAAAGATCGTCGATGAAGATTCGAGTGACTCAATCGGGCGACTCTAATTCGGCTCTGTTTTCTTTCAGGTCCGCGACCATCTCCTGAAAGTTTGAGCCAATATCCAGTCACAAGGCCTCGAACAAGGTCGTTGATTATTCTACACAGGGAATCGTTGTGTAGCGTCATGAGATCATCTGCCCGACTTTTAAACCATCTTTCGTGCTGAGAGAATACCGCAGAGCGTAGTCTAGAAATTGAACAGAAGAGTAGCATCAGCGAGAGAACCTTCACTCTTAGATTTTTAATGGAAAGCCAATTGTATAATGTCAAACTAAAAACTCGGGTTTTCATTTCGTTCGAAGTCTTGGAATGAAACGAGTCGAAATTCAGTTTTAGCTTCGCAAAACGTCGAGCCCTTGTCTAACCAGCACTTTCAGACTCCGATGATCCAATTGTGGCCTGTGATTCCCTACCTGATAGCGAAGTTTGCTATAGCTTTCAACTCCACCACTCAATTGTACTATTTTTGATGAATATTTTCATCAGAGAACACGGATATCTCCTGTGTTTGTGTGAAAGATCGATTGTCTTCTCTTAGTTCGAACTCACCTCGTATCGAAGTGATACAGCGCCGTGGGATAGCCTTTGTCTTAGCTCTCCGTCTGTTTCAAACAAGCAGCCCCGACCGGAGTGCTCCGCAGAGAAAGGACCGCACACAATGTCCGTCCCTAGAATAAATATCCTGGATCGTTCCCGCCGAATCATGTTCGCCGTCGCATGATAAATAGAGTTCGGCTAGGGGGCCGTTTCCGACGTACCTAATGCGAGCCCTGAGAGGACGACCTGCAGGCTTCGAGAATAATTGGGCTTCCGGGGGAGTAGAAGACCCGCGCCTGACTTGTTCTCACCCCTATCTTCCCTACGATGTTTCCGCATGTATGAATATTTGCTCTAACGCAGTTGCACTCGATCCTCGAAAATCTCAGCCCGAAACGGCCCCCACCCGATTTTCTGAGAGATGGTCCCTTCTCGAAATTGTAGAGTCTATAAGCGGGGCTCCTGAGGCTGGCTTCACGGGAATATCTAGAATTGCTGTGTAGCGACCGCCGAATCAGAGAACATGAGAGAACCGTGTCCGAGCGGTTAGACCGAGACGTATCAACGGTTGGGGCTCGACTCGACTCGAGTGATTTTTCGAAATTCGCGCCTCGAGGTAGACAGCGCCCTCTGGGAGATCTCGTTGAACTTGTTGTGCACCGCGGTTGATGCGGCGGCGTCGGTTGCTTGCTTGTTTCACTAGCCCTCGTTGTAGTCTAGCGGCGGAGCGTGTGTGCGTGTTCGAGTTGCGGCATCGTGACATACAATCGTATTGACAATCGAAACTCCTACTCACCGGGTGACGAACCTGCCGGGCGGCTCTGATTACTCCCTACCGATTCCTTGATTGGTGCTCGGAATTCGATTGTTGTACGTACGTCTGCCTATTCCGGCATCTCTACTTGCTGCGGCAAGAAACACAGAAAACGATGTCTTACAAAGCCGAAAGCCGAGTTTACGTGGGTAATCTGCCGCCGGACATCCGCACAAAGGATATCGAAGACCTGTTCCATAAGTACGGAAAGATCACATTCATCGATTTGAAAAATAGACGCGGACCGCCATTCGCCTTCGTCGAATTCGAGGATCCGAGGTAAGTTATCTACATTCGAAAACTCTTCCAAGGCACCCCCGTCGAACGAGAGCCTCCTAGCTGTTGTTCAATGATGTTGCGAAGAAGTCGTCGTCGTTCGGAGGGTGATTCGGAAGTCCCGAAGGGAATTAGAGCACTCCTTCTGGGAGCCGCCAGGACCCGGGATGTTTCTCTGTGTGATTCGCCGGTGTGCAGACTTCGTCGAGCGTGCTTCGCTCCCGGAGTTCTCTCAGCTTCTCGGCTATCGAGCTCCTCAAGGGATCCCTGCTAGGCTCGTTCGACGGAGTTATGGAGCGTTGGCCCGAGATTTTCCGCCGGCCCGCTCGTGCCCGAGAGCGTGGATATCGATCGACATCCACGAGAGCCAATGTAGCATATGACTCCGTGTGGATCCCCACTTGATTAGACCCTTTGCCCGAGCGTCTCGTTCGACGCTCTCGGAGTAGAACCCCTGAGCCTGTTTGCTCGGTCTCGAGTTGGAGTACTTCATTGTAGGAATCCACGCTTTTTTCGGCGAAATTATCCTGTGATAGTCGTCTGCTCCGCGTGTAAACGAAAACAAACATACCTACGTACCGAATGCTCGAGTGGACGGTTCAGGATTTCGGCGCGGATGTCGGAATCGATCGATGATCTTTCGTGATAAGCCCCGCCAAGAACGATAGGACGATCCCTGAACGTGTGCTGAAGCCCGTCGATGCTCAAAATTAATATTTCAGGGATGCCGAAGATGCCGTGTCGGCCCGAGACGGCTACGATTACGATGGCTACAAACTCCGGGTCGAATTCCCGAGAGGTAATTCCGCCCGCCCCAGAGGAGGGCCGTCCCGCGGCCGAGGTCCGCCTGCACGTAGAAGCCAATACCGAGTTATAGTAACTGGTAAGTACGAGAGTTGTTCAATCGAGGGAAAGATCCCCTCGATCGCTCGCAGGGCATCTGACGCAACAGATGATGTCTCTCGGTCACGAAATTTTACTGGATGAGAGATCGACGGCCACCGCTGGACGGGAACCGGAAAATCAAGGCTTGAAGGGATGCACCATCGGATTCTCTCCCCAGGTTTGCCTCCCACCGGATCGTGGCAGGATCTCAAGGATCATATGCGCGAAGCCGGAGATGTTTGCTATGCGGATGTGTACAAAGATGGCACCGGTGTGGTAGAGTTCTTACGTTATGAAGACATGAAATACGCTGTCAAGAAACTTGACGATAGCCGGTAAGTGCCTCACACGTCCGATCCGAGATCGTGGTCAAAGTCTCGAGCTCCTCTCCGTCTAGAATGAGATTTTCCCCATTGGCTCCTTCGTCACGACCTCTGAAGCATCCACTAACGCTCCCGTATGCTCTCTCCTATTGTCAGATTCCGTTCCCACGAGAGCGAGGTATCGTATGTACGGGTCAAGGAAGACACCGGCCGCGAAAGCAGATCGCGTTCGCGAAGTCAATCGCAACGGCGCTCGCGCTCACCTCCGAACTACTCCCCAAGGAAGAACTATTCCCGTTCCAGGTCCCGCTCCCGCTCCCCCTCATAAACACTCACTCATTCTGCAGTTTTCCCGTTTCGACTCTAAATACCACAGATACAAGCTTTCCAATTACTCACTGAACACATGCAGCCACGGGCTCGCGGGCAAAACGAGCAGCCAATCAGATAGATTTTCTTTTTGTACAATCCCTGTGAATTACATTACCCCTTTCTCTTCGTTTTGTTCGTGTTGTACACAACTTCTTGATTTGCCGACAATAATTCGCTTCTCGTGTTTTGCACACTGCTAGATTCGACCAAATCAAGGCGAGTTCCAAGATCAAGATCGAAACGTAGAGATGCCGCGTATCCTTCGAACAGAATATAGTTCTCGCTCTGGGAAGCAGCTCCGGACATGCATGGCCCTGAAACCCAACATCCTACGCTGTCCCGTCAATCAGATGATTTTCGGGTGGTTTCGTAGATATTCGATCGTCTATCGGTCGGTCGTCCGATCGATAGATCAGCGAGATACGAGATCCGATTCACATAATAATTATCTTTACTACTTTTCTTTCTCCTACGACAACAGTGTGTACGAGATTGGACTCAAACAATCATGTGGATGGATCAAATAAAGGAATTCATTGATCAGGATTAATCTGAAAACTGGATTGCGATGACTTGCATTGGAATGGAATGAGGATGCGGATGCATTGATGACGTTCATGATGATGACGAGCGCTGGCGGACCGTAAAAACTGGAGGACTCGCGTCGACGGACACGTTCGGGCTTCTCCTTTGACGTCCGATCGAAAAACCCGATGATGAACTTGGAGGATTTCTTCGGAGGGACTCGCTCTCTCGCTTGCTCGCTCGTTCACTCACTCAATCGCTCGCTCGGTCCTCCCGTCGGAGATGTGACGGCTGCTAAGGAGTGACACAATCACGGGAACCACTCAATCAGAAATCGTTCGATCCGCGAGGGAATCAGTGATCGCCACTTTTGAATACGGATACTACTTATCTTGGATACGGAGCTTGGAATGGGAATAGAAAATGCATTGGACGGAGAAACCTTTCGGATGAGACGACCGGTCTGTGGAAGGACAGGAGGAAGTTTCAGTTGGACATCAGGAATGTGCGCGTGCTCGGGAATTGACGGGACTCAATGAGCAGACTCGATAAGAGGACTGAGGTGGTTTGTGATACACTGTGATTCTCACGGGAAGGAACGCGCTCATGACGGTCTCTGGAAAATTACCTAGAGGAAACTGAGGAGCACTTTCACTTGATCTGGATAATCTGGATGGAGCATCTGAACTCCGTACGAGGACAGCTGTGCCCGCCGCTTGAGAAACAGATTTCCCTTCAGCGGCGGTCAGGTTCGGACTCGTAACACCCCCGCCGCGACAGCTTGCGACCAGCCATCTTTCTGATTTCGCAATACTGGGAAGAAGGATCCCCATTCGCGCGAGACGGGACCAAGAGGGTCATGGAGACGCCGTACACGGTGTGATATGCCGGAATGCTTACGAAGGAAGGAATTTCTGGAGCGCCCACATCACCTAAGTTTGACTTTGGAGGAATGTGCTCTGATGGATGCTCATCCAACCTGAGGGAATCGCTCTTACTCAAGGAGGTGACGTTTCGGTGCAAAAGCGACAGTTTCGTCGGGAGGCAGAAGCCCCGTAAGAAGCCAATAGCATCGGCCACGTCCCTGGGATGGTAAATCCATTGATCTGACCCGGCTTGGCCTGGTGGTGTCCAGGATTTATGCAGTGCAGCAGCTGCATAAACTTATCCTTCGAGGATCCCGTGGCAAGAGATCGCGGGTTGCCGGCGTCGCTAATGACTTTCAAGTGTGACGGATAGGTCGGGGAAACGCTTCTTCAGCCGGAGAGCCTCGCCATGACCCCGAATCGGGAACAGAGGTAAGTGGTTTCGCCTTTTAAAACTCCGATCCTTCTCTCAAACCACATACATTCAAAGATGGGATTTTTGCAAAGATTTGAGATATAATTTTGATAATGCAATTTCATGTTGAATCCGAGAATAAATAAAACTTGACAATGAATCGGGAGCGTTTTCCTTCTTTGGGTTAGCGATAATTTAGGATACCGACCCCCTGTCCGGGAGGTGCTCCTCGAATACTTTGGCGCTCGATACCGCGACGCAGCTGTGGAGCTTACGTGCGATTTCGAATGCATTCGAGTTCCTTGTGAATGAGGCTCGCATCAGAAATGCTCTTTTGACTCAGGTGAGCGATTGACCAATTCGCTCCCACACGGCGGATTGCGGGCGGATTATTATCGGACGACGACGCGATGGCGAGAAAGATGTCTCGGCGGAACTCATTCATCTGGCCGAAGGGGGACCGAGACATTGATCCACAATATTTTGGGGACGATTCCCTCGCGCAGTTTAGCTCTCGGTAGTCTCCGGGCCTCGATAGTCACGGACTACAGGCGTCACATGGCGTCATCAAAACTGAAGTATGAGGCTCGGGTAGAGCATCTCTCGATCTGATAACTTGGTCTTAGGACTACGGAGTCTATAGTGGTCACGATCCTCGTCCACACAGACGGCTCTCAATTATTCATGATGGTCCTCTCTCCGAAAAGGAGGTGGGCTCAAAGCACGCGCATAGTCATCCGGAACGACGTCCGTCGTTTATAAGACACCTCGACGCACCCCTGGCAAAACACTTATGGGCAACAGAGGTGTTGACGACTCAATCAAGTGCTCTGATCGAATGAGATTGATCCCACCGAGTTGAAGAATGAGAACTCATCCGACTTGGGAATTCGTGGGAGAATTACGGAAGTTCGAATGAAGACGGCGATTGCCTCGTAGCTGGAGTACCCCTCGTCTGCCCTAGAAGATAGCGACTGAATCTGAAACAAAGAGGTGGTATGATAGGCCGACTGCAGACAGATGACCATGGGAATCGAGGACGTACGGTTCGCTCGCTCGGGAGTGTCGGAGCTCCTCGTGCTGTCGATTCGGCGCTTCACTCAAAGAGAACCACTCATGGTTCACTCCAAGGGTCGTATACCCGCATAGGAATCAGGATCCTCTCCAGAATGTCTCATATTTTCCTTTATTCCGATTGTGAAATATCATTTGAAGTGAGCAACATCACTTGAGCAATGGTTGAGCTCCTATAGATATATTTGTCCTGGAATTCTTCTTCATGTGGCATCCGTGGTAATCGAAGCACCGATCGAATGAACACGATTCAATGGATACTTGTCGCTCGTTTCTTTCGCTTCACCGAAGGTTCTTGGATCAGAATCCGACGCTATCCGTAGACCTGAGGAGCGATGGACTCGAGCTTATCTTGAGGCCTGAGATGGAGCAAATCCGGAAATGAAAATACACTCATCGTCGCGACGGATTTCACACAAATATCAGACGAGGATACGGGCTTGAGCCTCCGGTAGAATACTCTTCCGATCTCTCTCCCGGTCTCGGGACTCTACAGGAGTCGAGATAACAGGTTTTCTATTGTCGTCACAAAAATTCGACCCGGGAACTTGAGAAAGAGTCGGAGCCGGCATTCAGCTCCCAAAATTCGCTCAGACAGTAATTCGTCTCCCTGAGCTGACGCCAACAGCCTTTTCATGTCCCGGGGCTCACCGAAAGATCATTGTCCCAGCGGGCAGACTCAGCGAGAGGAATTACCCGGTTCGATCGAGACCGTGTTCCCAGGAATTGTCGACATCCGGGATAGAAGTGGGCTCATGTCGCTTTAGCGGCATCTTTGCGATGTTCAGATTCGATCCGACGCAATAAGCCGATCACTCACCAGAGCGGTCTTACCTCCCGACTCCGAGGAGCGGCTCAGCGACAGAGCTCTGCTTGAAAAGAGGGAAATTCCGTCCAAGATAGGATTCAAGAAGATCGGGAGGATTAAGAATACTGTGTCCTCAATCCGCCGCGAGTGCCCTAAACGCCAATGAACTCGCATCGCGGCTCCGTGTTTGTCTTCACCAGCTCGCGAGTATATTCCATTGAGAGGATATCATCATCGACAGCGGCGTACACAGAATTTTTCTTGGGGAGGGGGGCTTGATCGGGTCTCCGCATGGAGTAGGGCGATTCGCTCCTGTACTACAGTATCACGAAGGGACCATCTAGGAGCCCCCCTGCGTACGCCCCTGATCATCGATGCTCGCTGACCAAGGAGGAGAATCCCCACTCATCGCGTCAGCTGAGCGCTCCACGAGCTCGCCGAGAGACAGAGAGAGAAAGTGGGTACACTCTGTACTCTGGATTTGCTCTGGCATGAGCTCTGTCTCCTACAAGTTTTCGGCGGCTTGCGGCAGAGTAGCTCGAAGCAGGTGAGGAGTTTGCTTTTTCGTCCTTGCGACGTTTGCTGCGCGAGAGGGGTCATCGGGAGGGACTTTTCCCTCCGAGGATGAGGACGAATCAAGATTCATGGCTGATTCAGATCGATGATGCCGTCGAGTGTCAGATTTTCAGACGCCCTAGGTATCTGATGATCTCTGCTTTCAGCTCAGCTGGGAGCTGGGAGCGAGTCAGTGGGTCATACCCTCACCAGGAGAGAGGAGCGACTTCCGCGCCAACCGCCGCGCTTGGTCTGTCGTCTGCTGCGCTAATATCTGAGCGGTCCATCGTCCTCACCGATGCTAGCATAAACTCGACATGATAACCGAGTGAAACCCGGATTTTTGAGAACTCGAACCATTCGTGGGCTCCCGATATGGCAGCGCAGTTGATGACACTGAACTCCCCTCCTAGGAATCATCGTTCTATCGTGAATCGAGCTCCGTCTCATTTGACTACCTGTCATCGGAGCGCTCAGCATTTAGCACGTTAGAGAAATAGGAGCATATACAGAGCGATCGAGTAAAGAGAAAACTACGATATTTCTTTTTCGCTGCTGACGTGCATGGGAAACCAGAGGGATACAGAAGACGCGAGACAGCATCATGATCCTGGGAATGACTCCACGCCCGAAAAGCACCGTCGAGCTCTGAACGAAGGCTGTGAACAGTTCCGAAGAAGACTAGGAGCAATCAATGGAATCTCACATACAATGTGATCCTTTCGTGTAATAGTGACGTCTGTTGAGATTTTGCTCATGCTCCGGTGTGATGAATTTCCTCAAGAAGAAAAGTAGGTTGTTCTGCGTCGATGGTCATTCCCCGGTGCTTTCTTAAAAAAATATTCGAAGTACGCATCTCGAAAGAATATCTGGTGTTCGAAATGGATTTCTCACACCCCGGAGAAAAGCTCACCCGTGTCAAGGACCTTGTCAGTTTCGAATGGTCACAGTTTACCGCGGACAAATGTCACGCAATCGGTCTTTCACTCAGGAATCAGTTCCGAGCTCTTCGGTGCGGAGTCGAAAAACCGTCTTGGTAGTACCTTAAGCTCTTAACCCTGTCAGAAACGAATCCGTAGAATTATCCGAAGCGGTTGTCCATTTTGGACATCGTCGGTAGTAATCGGCGAATAATCGGTCGTCCCCCGCAAAGATACCACCTCGAGTTCGTTCGGGCTCATATGTTTATGCTTCCTCGTTCTGCGTAAACATTCTTGGAGCTTTCGTAGAAGTACATTGTTATTCATTCGGGTGCTGTTCGCGCTTCTCTACCGATTCTTAGCGCAAGACGTATTTATTCTCTTTCATCTCGGAACTGAATATGATTTGTGACCTTCTGCAGGTTCTTTGAAGGGGGTCACTCGCAATTTCGAACGTAGTTTGAGTCTCGGTTCGCTCGAGTTCGCATTGAACCGTGGAATACGGGAAAAAACAAACGAAATCGGAGAGATTCGGTCCTTTCGCAAACCTTCAATGTCACGCTGCAAGAACTTCAAGAAGGAATCCGAAAAGGTTGGGAATCCATGACACTTGTGTAGAATTCTGTGACAAATATTCAATGAAGAAGCTCGGCGATTCGGATCATAGCTCATCGATTGTCGAAGTAAAATCAACGACGTCTATCCCAGCTGAACGAGAATATGACCCATCGAAACCGCCCCGGACGAAGGCTTGTTCCTTCCGCTCATTACGGGAATTGCTGGCTGACAATGCCTCGATTCCATATCTGATACAATTCATGGAAGCCAAAGGTGCACAACACTTGTTACGGTTCTGGCTCGAGGCCGACATGTTCAACAGAAGTAGTCAGGTTCTTCGCTCGGGAAGTCACGTGAAGCAACGATTCGTCAAGACGAGAGATCGTGAGTTGACCACGGGGATTATAGGATAGGTACTTACAGTCGAGTCGCATAAATAAGTCATATCGAGCATTTTGGTGGGCAGAAGGATTATCCCACGAGGCACTCTGACAAGAGATTACTCCCTCGCTTCTCCGATCACGTGCGTTCAGATCAAGATTCAATCATTTCAGCGATTGCTAAAACTAGATCAATATGCTCCTTTCTGCAGCTCTTCAAGCAGATCCCTTGAGTCCTTGTGATGAGCCCCTGGAGGCTGTCGACGAAGATAGCCCACGAGGAGCACAAGTTTCCGCACCGATCTACGCTGACAGTGAGTTCACAGGACATGGCCTTGAGCTACTTCGGAATCCCCTTGTTTTCTCGGAGGGAGACCCGTAGAGCAATCGCTCGCTGCTGTCGGAGCACGGGAGACTAACATCCGTTCCCTCCCAGGTATTGGTCAAGACGCCCTCCACATCTATGAGAAATTCCTCGGACCGTCAGCAGCACAAGAAATTCTACTGGAACCTCAGACTTTAGAGGAAGTGATCTCCTGCTTGTCAAAGGAGCATGTTGACGGAAATTGCTTTTCCAAGGTTCGCTGACTAGTGACATAAGCTCCCGAACTAAGATTGGAATATAGACTCGGGCCTTATGCATCTGAATCTCGGATTTTCAGGCACAACAGGCAGTTTTCGATCAGATGGACAAGCAATATTATACGGAATTCCTCCGCAGTCCGTTCTACACCCAGAGACAAATTGATATTCTAACAACATCAAACATGGCTTCGGGACCTGGTCTGGTGGACATTCTTGCGAACGACGGATGTCTATTCTACCTCATGGAATTCGGGGAACAAGTGGGAGTTCGTCGCCTGATTGACTTCCTGATCGTCGCCGATAACTTTTCTACGCACACCGGAGCCGTAGACGCGTTCGCGGCCCAAGAAGCCCAGAAAGATGCCATGGTTATTTATGATAAATTCTTTTCTCTACAAGCGGAGACGTCTCTCGGCTTCAGCGACTCATTACGGAGCGAGGTACCCAACTTTCTCTCGGATCGGGATCATAAAGGATATATGTAGAGGGTACTTCGATCCTGAGAAAATAATAATTTACGAATCGCTTTTCGTTCCCAGATCGAAGAGTCGATCTGCTCCGAAGATGGCCCAAATCCGAACACTTTCGCTCTGCCATTCGCAATAGTTGTTCGGTATCTAGAGAACGAGTTTCTCCAGGTAAATTTTTGAACAAATGTCCGATGCTGAAATCTGCTTGATGATCGTGTAGGAATTCTCAAAGCTCGGGTCCCCCTCCCCCAGGCTTTCTTCAACTCAGCTCTATACCAAAAGTATCTCACCGAGTGCATCCAAACGGTTCAGAAATCAAGTCTGCGACCAGGAGGTTACCACAGGGCGGAGGAAAAAGACGCGAGCAGTTGTAGCGACACGAGCAGCAGTATAACTCAACAAGTAAGCAGCGTTTCCGATTCGAGGAATCGTCCCGGGCCCGAGTACGGTACAGCTCGGATTCATTACTCAATTCATGATCCAGTGAAAAGAATTGTTTCGTGAGTGAAATCCGGCTGAATGATAGACAATCGTCCCTCGACCGCAGTTACATTCTCCCCGTACGGCTGGTGGGAGTGTCTCCTCTGATCATTTCGTCGCGGGCTCATCGTACTCGGATCTGATCGAGGACAAGGTGAGACTGTCGAGATTCGGGCTTAAGGAATGGGGTGACGAGGATATAACGAATATGCTTTTGAGCGAGTGCGGATGATATATTCTCCTCCTCCATTTCCCAGCACGTCAGCGGCGCTTTCCAGAGATTGCCCGGTCGAGCTGCGATCCCGAGGTAAGGAATATCCCACGATCTGGTCGTCTAGTCGCCTGCCCATGTCGTCGCTCCATTTGGGAGGCTTATCTCCTGGCTTGTACCGATGGAGAATAAATCTCCTGTGGTCGGGAACAGATTACAGCTGCTGCACGTCGATCCGCTGGGAAAACTAACATCGGAATTCGAGCCGGAACCGGAGGGGGCCGTCGGCGCAACGAGCACAATATCCAAGTTGAAAAAGCTTGTCGGGAGATCTGATCGTGTCGAGGAAGAAGAACAGGTATGCAAAGGCCTCTACTCTAGCCGCATGACATATACCATTAGCCGCATTACGTGTTCCGAAGAACTCTGAGAGAAGTGATGCTCTTCACAGGCTTGGGAGGCGGCACATCAAATGATCAGAGAAGTACAGTGCCTCACTACAGCGAATAATAACAATATACCACCTTGATGGTAAGATAGCGCCGAAATTTTCGTTCGAGAGCTGCAATCCGACCTCAGAGATATCCGACTGGAAGATGATTGTCGGGCATGAAGTGGAGCTTGAAATCTTCGCCAATCGTTGCCAAGCATACCCATTCTCAAAATTCCGTCTCACAGCAGATGGCCTTTCAGAGTGCGAATTTCTTCGTGATACCAAATGGAATGGCAGAATCTCCGTGAATCTCCGCTCGCTGAGCCCCTCATCCTGTGAGAAGGAAGAATGCTTTCGGAGTTTGCGGCCGTGTTCACTATCTCGTCAAGAACAGTGGTTCTTTAATAGCATGCTTGATGTGGGTCGAGGCCCTTCTCTCGGAGTATTCGTGATTGAAAAAGAGGAATGTTGTATAATTTTGAGATGAATTCCTCGAGATGGCGGCTCCTGGAGAACGGAAGATGAGTCTCCCGCGAAGCTCTTATTCAAAGCCTAATGGAAGCACGGCGTCGCTAGGCGCCTTCGCGAGAGGAAAATTTGAGCGAACTTGAGGGAGGGGGGGCTGCCGGGTGAATCATGTTGCGCTTTTATGGGGAGGAATCGAAAGCTTTGTTTTTCGCTCAAGGCCCGCGCGGTCTCCCCAATTAGCTGGGTCTCCCTCTCACTGTTTTCCACGATAACTCCGTAAGGACAGCTTGCAGTCTGGTCAGCGTGTTGGCCTCGAGGGCCATTTTTCGAAACTACAAAAAATGAGTGACCAATGAAAATGCTCGCGGATTCGACTCACTATTCGATACCTGTTCTATTGTCCGAAGGTATGGTGAGAACGTCAACTCTTTCTTGTGATATAAGAGAAACATAGAATATCGATGGTTGGACGAATAAAGCTATAATTTCCGATAAAACCCGCGATCACTCCGTCTTGTAGCAAATCCAGCAGTCAGGAGGGAATGAATTTGGACGAAGTCGGGATGCTTGCCTCAACGATCATGACAGGGAAAAGCTAGTGTGACGACCACTTCTGTTTGGGGCACGGCTTCGAGGGGGGATGCTCCGAATTGATTCCGCTCCACTTCTTCATTGGCGGATCGTCGACTAGACTAAGTGCGGCGCGAGCGTTCTCGTACGACGCCACATCATCGACTGTCTTCATTGGCTTCCGGCGGAATCCAGTATTCATGAATCGATATATCATATTCACCGTAGTGACCGGAGTACCGTAGCGACCGCAGTGACCGAAGTGCCGTACGATCGTAGTACTGTACTATCGTAGTGCCGTAGTGGTCGAAGCACCGCGCGTATAGCCAAAGAGGATTCTAGATTCACAGAGACTGTATTGGATCAGTCAAACATGGAGGGGACAGAGGGAACGAAGTCCGTCCGACCAGCCGATGATAGCCACAAAAGCCTCTCCTTAGCCTGCGTGAGTAATAAACGGAAGAGTCCGAATCACGCCGGAGCTGCGCCGCCGCCACCGCCGCGTCAACCGCAGGGAATCATCGTAGTGTTCGAAGGGAGAACTTCGACTTTGGAGACACCAAAAATATGACAACTTGATGAGGGAACTTTCAGGGCCGGACCTCAGACCTGGACGGGGTCGAACCGCTCTTTGAGATCTAGGAGATGAAAGCCTACCTGGACCCCTTTCTTCGTTGAACGGATGATCAGATGTTAGTCTGAGCGATCTTCCTCAGGATAATCCCGTCTTAGGCGATGCCCATCATGGCTGTAATTCTTTCGCCACCACTCCGACCATTCCCCTGAATCAATCAAGTCCGGATCAAGACGTGATCAGAATTGAAGACCCGCTCAAGAACGCACAAGATGGAAACGTCACCTGAACGAAGGAGCTCATTTAAGCACGGGCACGGACAGCACCAAGACTGGGGAAGAGCTTGGGAGCGCCAAAAATAGGTGGGGCTTTTATGATACTCTCAGATCCAGGCACCGTCGCGTCGGTCGTAGCGACAGTTCCGTGGAGCTTCCACTGGTGCTGTATGAGAAACAAGAAATCGATTCGGTGGGCTCGGAATCTGTTTCGGAACAGGGAACAGTTCCTCGTGGAACTTCGACGCGGTCTGGAGCGAAATACATATTCCGGGGGGATCGAAGATGTTTCTCCTCATCGTTGATATTGATTTTACTCCTCGCGAACCATTCCTTCACGCGGTATGGGGTTTCCGCACGAGATTTAGAGATCCCGTTGCATAATCTTTGGAATGCGCCCATCAACCTGCGACAGCTCTCACAGTCAAGAGTCAGAATAGCAAGTCGGAATCTATGCTCCATTCATGTGGGTAGGCTAACTAATTCGCTCATTCATCACGCGGAGCACTGGCATAATCCCTCATGGAATTGTCCTCATCGATTCCGGATCAAAAACCCTGTGTTCGTGGATAGTGGAATCTAGCGGCGACGCAGCCGAGCGCGACAGGAGCGACGCAAGTAGACGACGGCAGCATATTTCGACTACGGATGCCCTGTCACGAGTTCCGTTCGCCGAACCAGGCACTACGCTTGACATGAATCGGGGCTGAGCTAACCAACTAGAGGAATGAACCGGTAGACATCAGAACGACGAACGTGCGGCAAGAATACCGAGCTGACGCGATGGCGGCAGGTCCGCCTACCGGAGAAAGCGGAATGAATCCTTCGCTTCGCTCAGTTATTGACTGCACCTCCAACCATAGTTTCAGAGGCCGCATCCAGGCAGTGCGTTCGCGTGCGTCGCGTATCTTCCGCTTCATCGATTTCGGAAAAGTATTGGAGCCTCCCGTGAAATGGGAGGGCACCCCAGTCGGACCATGGCCCAGTGCTGAACACAGGACTCGCCGGCATAAATTGAATTAGTTCCTCAACTAATGTCGAATTTATTCCTCACCGCTCTGCAACAGCCATGCAGCCCGCTGTGTACAGAATGTTCGGTCCTCACTCCGGTCCTGCCCTCACCGCCGGTCGCAAACCAGAATCTCGCAGTGGCTCATGTTGCGCCTTGGAAACAAGCTTAGTGAGTTCCCCACTCCTTGATTCGTGTGTCGCGAAAAATTCGAAAAGAAGGATACGTCCGTTCCCGATACTCTCCTCAGTCGATCTCGGACAGCAGAGAGCGACAAGGTTATGTAGATGGTCAGTCCCGTGACCGAAGCGCAATGGGCAGCGGTCACCAGCGGAGCGAGTTTCATAATATGAATCGGACTCATCAGCCGCTGGGGAGGGGAGGCAGGAGGAACTCCTCTCGAGATATCGATATCGAATTAGATTCGGAATTCTCGACTTCATTTGGAAGTCTGAAGAGCACACCACCCGCCGACTCAGAGCCGGCTGGAGGCGAGCCTTTTCCGGCTTGTCGACGCTGATGTGAGTCTGGATTGGCACAAAACTGCGCCTACTAATAGCGAGTCTACACGAGTCACATTGATTGCGCCCGAGTCCCACTAATCAAGGAGTAGTCAATCTCTCGTTCACAACTAAAACTCGTTGCTACATTTAATGACTACAGCCCCCGAGGGAGAAACTCTCTTCCTACCTTTTTAACAATAAGTCGAATGAGTACCTGAGTGACTAATCTCAGAGGGATTCCGAAAGCCTTTCGATCTCTGAGAAAGAGTTCCCAGCCCTATCCAGTGTACCGAGAAGCTCTTCTCGACATCTTGGAGCTCTTCCGGGCTTTCTCCTCTGATCAGGCTCTCCCATGTACCATGAAGGGATTTGGACGCTTGAGGGCGGCGATTCTCTCTGGCGGGAGCTTGGCACGATGTCACTCAAGAGTCATCCGAGAACGATGCCTTCTTCATGTTCGAACGTCTGCGGGACACACGAATTAGCGCCTTAATCGAAAGAGGACTCCGAGTTTGATCATAGCCCCTATTACAGTGGTATGGAACAGGTTTGGTTGGGAGAATTCGCGAACCTCTTCCAGTCCTACCGACCTCATCAATGGAGCTTATTCCCCGTCCACTCAGCGCCCATAGGATTGTGGAATCAGTTTGTCGATTCGGCCAAGGTGAGTTCTCGAGCGAATCAGCTCTGTGACCGGGATGAGTTCGACGATGAGCTTGGGAACAAATAAGGCTCCGGGTGATTAGAGATTCTCAAGCTACACGCTCCAACTTCTAGGTGCGCTTCAGTTGCTTGGAGTGCGGTCACGGTTGGACGTCCATGAAAGGAAGAATCGCATACTGGTTCGTACAGGCATCGAACGGGGAGGGATTCATCGCTTTTAAGCTGTACGGACAACAATGTGATAAGTGTAAAAGTGGTCGCTTCCAATCCGCCATGTGGTATCCCGAGGAGGTGGTCAAGGTGAATGATTTCATCGCGAGACGCGATGCCAAATTTATATCTCTACTGAGCAGCTGCAAGAGCGCGGGATGAAGGGAAATTACCTTTCGGCTAGCATCGGGTGTTTCTGACCGGCACTCGCTCCTTCCCAGGTTCTTGTCAATTTATACAATCGTGTGGGACAGGTCTACTACGGTTTTATCGAGCCACCGATCCAGAAAACCCGAAGGGCAGGCAAACCTCGCACCCCCCACAACGCCTCCCTGTGTCAAGCGTGCTATGACGGCGTTTGTACTGAGCAGAATCGACTGACTTGAAGTTCCGCGCTGTCCACGGAAACTCCGCGGAATCACGCCTACGACTCGAAGGAGGCCGAAGTCGCAAAGTATTCTCACATCGAAGTATGGCCAAGGGACGTAGATAATAATGCGACACTTTTTGTTCTTAACACCAGCAGAACGATTTTCATGAATGACAAGCGCACATCACTCTAATCGGTAGAAGAAAGCGGTGAGACCTATTCGATGGGTCCCTCCGAGATGCACCACATATTCGGTCCGATGGATCAGGATGTCCGATTCCGCGCACGGAATACAATTGGTCTTTAGTTCGATCGGCTCCACGGGCGAACAGGCCGATGACTTCCCTCGAACGGTGGACCCATTCGACAGAGTTCGCTACATGGGCGAGCTTGCGGTGAGTCGTGCATTCAGTCGGACCTCCAGACCAGATTCATGGATCCGTAGGTGGATTCGAGGCGAGGATATCCGAGGGATATCCGTGATGTAAGCTCCAGAATCAATGTCCTCCTTCCTTTGAAAAAAATCTAATTTCATTCGCCTGCGAATGTCGAATAAAGAAGCCAGAGTCAGGCACTCCCCGACCGCCGGATAGAACACACAATCTATCTACTCGGACTCTATCCCTAAAATACAGGACCCTTCCGAAACGAGAAGCAGAACCTGACCGCATCGAAAATTTATTGCCATGAAATCATCCTCAAGCTACTCGAAGCGCATGCTGAGTTCCGCAGGCTCCAGCTCACAAAGTCGTACTGGGGTTTGGTATCTGATGGGGATCCCAGGGGTTACGTATTCCTCTGGGTACAAGCATCGAGGCTGAGGGCAACTCCGGAGACCGCAGCGGACAATACTACCTAGGCAAGGTCGACCCTCTGACATGTCAGAATTCAGTCGCTCCGACAACGCGCCCCATTGGCTCGTGCCTTCCCGATCCGACCGAAAATTGCAAGTCCGTCGAAATAAATCGTATCCAGCGTCCAAGGATGGGTTGAGGGACTCCTGAATAAAGTTCTGCGTCATCGTTGTCTCTCAGAAAGCGAAAAGTGAAAGAGATAACCTCGCGAAAAATGTCTATCCTCTGGATACAGTGGTCCGATGATTTCTTGAGCACTCTCAATGCAACAATCACAAGTCTCATCGCGGACGGATTTCAAAATTTCAAACTATTTCTTCTAGCAGCCATCTGATTAGTTCTGGCAGAAGGAGGCCCGATCCATCGAAAAGCGTATCACTCACAAGGAACTCGATGCTTCCATCACGACTCGAATAGTCAACCCCAGGAACTGACACGAAGTTCTAATTCGTCGATCAGCGTAGCTCCCGCATCGGATAAATGAAAAGAAAATATCTGGCGAAACAAAAGATTATTATCTCTCAAAATGATAAGTTCGGGCATAGTCGACGCTGGAGATCACGCTCGACCTGAGCCTGATCAAAATGACCGACAAACTTTCCCAACATTCTACATATTCAAGGCAAGATTACCGGGCCTGTCGTGAGAAGAGCGAGCCGTAGCTCTCCTCGATGCGTCATCATTATCTGCTCATTCACATGTGACTTTCCGTTTTTTGTTTGAGATCGAAAAACTGTTCCTCTGTCGTTCGAATATAAAGCAGTCGTCGGCGCAGGAAGAGCTCGTCCGTACGTTACAAAATTAATCGTATAAAACGGTATCGTTGTATCGGTTGGCTGGTTGGTTGGTAGGTTGTTGCTTCGTTCGTTGGAAGTTCAGTTGATTGCAGCGTTGCTAGATTTTCGTCGATGGGAATCGTCATCAAACTTCGCCGAAATTCGTGTGGCCGGTGCTTTTGGCGTGAGCTTGAGCTCCCGTTTGGCCAACTACTCCCTTATTACAAACTAGACACCGCAACGTGAAGTTTTGCACATCTGTGAATTGTCTCGACATCTTGGCCTCCCTCGCGAGCTCCAGTGCCATCTGCAGTACCTTGAAAGCGGAAACGGAACGGTGTTCGACCATTGATTGGAACAATCATTCGATCGCCAGTCTTGCCAGCAGCAGAATAATTCGTCGACGGGACTTACACTAGTGTCATTTATGTCGAACGAGGTCGTCACTTGGCCGTTGCCTTCGAGGGACTCTAGCATCAGTGGATCGTAATGAATGCCGTCGTAAATTAGAAGAATCCGTCTACTGTAATTCTCATCTTCACCGAAACGGTTCAAACGAACATTCTGTGTGTCAACCGCCACCATTTCCGTCTGGAAATGCTTCGAGAGGATAGCCAATTCTATGGCACCACCCCAGTGATCTTCGTTAAGAATCCATGTGCAGTATTCCCGGTTCGGTTTGCCTAAAAGATTAATAAATCAGCGTCGGGAACGAATCTCGGACCGCATAGGCTACAGGCTTTTGGTTCGACGACCGACACACACACGGAATTAATTCATCGACTGACTCACCGAGGAAAGCTTCGGAGTATGTGATAGGGTCGCTAGCGACAGCTTCAGCAATTATCTGTCGCAGATCGGCTCCCGCTCGGATATCAAACTTGCCACCCGAAATTCCGAAGTACACAGAAGTGAAAAGACAGGAGTTGTTCGAAGGGACCACCCGCCGCATCAGGATCCCTGCGGCGGTATTCGAGCCCGCATCGAAGGTCGATGGAGCGACCTGATTGGATTCTTCCGTCGGTTTCGCTTCTGCTTTCATCGAAAAACCCGAAGCACCCCCGGCGGTACTCGGTGACTGCAGAACGAGAAAGTTGAATTCAAAAACAATAAGATGCACCGTATTGAATTATATCCTCGAGTTAGGATAGGTTCAAGTTTCGGGAAGTGTCCTCACCTCGACCGTGAGGGTATCCCCTGAGCGAACTTGAGCTTCTTCAAGCGTTCTAGACTCTTGGTCAAGACTAATTGCCGATGGAGGGTAACCGGCCAGAACTCTATCCACGAGCTCGCCAGTCAAGGATAATAGGACTGCTTTCAATTCAGCGAGCGTGGAGTCACTGGTAAGACAATCAATCCGATGTTGACCCTCTCTGGTCCGTATGCGTAGCATCAGCTGTTTGGACGACGACATTTTCAACTGCAATAGCGAAGTACGGCATCTTGAAACAACTTCTGTGCAGCGATTTAAAGCAATTGGCAGCGAGTGCTCCGTTCTTCATTTCTCCGTTGAGATCAGATTCCCAAAATCCTACTCGAATTCTCGAGGGCCCTCTATCCAACCGAACACTCGAAACACCGGCCTTCGGAAGTGTGATCTCCAAGGCGAATCGACGACAGGATCTTACTTCACGGTGGGAAATTATTGCAAGCAATGATTGGAACGATAATTCATCCGGAGCGGTCGATAATACTCACGATCCGAGAGTCCTTGGGGAAAAGTAAGAACAGATGGAACGATCGATCAAAACTGAATCTGCGTATGAAACATTATCAAACCGACAATGCTTGTCATCTAGGCAGCGAATTCAAGTTACTCACCTGAATCTTGGAGCGGTGTTTCCCGGGAAAGAACCGGGAGAAAATAAAATGACTTGCGGCTCGGCCAAGTGACAAAGAGTGCGAACTGGGAAGTGCCCGCGCCCCGAACTCAGCACCTAAGGATCCGTCAGCACTGTCTGATGTTCCGGTCGACCGTCCCGTCAACGAGGCTATTCTTGGCGGCCGGCGATGCTGTAAGTTCTGGTGCTTACGGTGGTTCTTCAATGGATCTTCGCCAGGCTCTTGGGAGCCGCCATTTTGTGCTGAGAGAGAGACATGAGGAAGGGTTTGTTTATTCACTCGAAAGGGCCGATGTTAGTGCCGGAGAACTCCGAACACCGAACTTCCAGTGAGAGGGTCATCACTCATCACAGAGAGGTTCGAGTTTGATCTAAGGTTAACCATAGGGAGGTAAGACAAGACTCTGTCGATACCTCTGGCAGCCGACATCATCCAGAGCTCCCTCCAATAGGGACTACACTATCCAAGCCTCAGCTGGCGGGTGCTCTGTGCTCTGCCGATAGTGAGAATCTTCCTGTATTCGTGTGTTTGATGGACAACATCGTGAGGCTATCCCAAGTGCGTTCCTGCTGCAGTATAGACTGAGAGAAGCGATCGATACCTGGAGGAAGTCCCTAGTGTCACCCGATTTGTTTCCTCGGGAAGAGTTTTCACATGCGATCCCTCAATTATTATCGACGAGCTGACTGAGAACCATGAGGAAACCAGCTGTACTGAAGAAGTCCTCGCTCAACTCGAGGCAATCGAGGTCATCCGCTAACTCCTTGCGGAGTCGTCGAGAAGCGGCTCACCGAAGCAGAGAAACGGTACGGCAAGTCGATGGAAACCCTATGTGTCTCGGTCGCAGAACCTCGGAGAATTTCGGGCCAGCAATGTCCTCTGGGCTCCGAGTTATGTTACACACTCACCTACTGAACGTTTGTATGAACCATGATTTCCATCCCGGATCAAGGTGCGAGGATATGTCCGCCTCCTACAGAAGAATCCCGAGCCGGAACTGAACTCGGATAGACCCGTCAACGACACTCCGAACGTGGAAAGTTATCCGATTCAGCCAGAGCAGCTCCGAGAGCGACTGAGTGAAATTGTCACCATAACTATCCGAGATCCCAGCCCGGTGCGTAGTCCTCCGAATGCTCGCTCCTCCCTCTTCTTCCCCCTCGCAGAGTAACTGAGATGATGTTGGAAAGGGTCGTTATCGTTGAGAAAAATAATTTGGAATTCGTTCCCAGAGCGAGAGACGCAGCTCACGGGTGGCCAAACGACCGAATTATGCTTTGCTCAACTCAGGTTCACAGTCTCCGATAGAGGAGGCAGAAGACGGAATCGAAGGTGGGAACGAGTTCGTCCTTAATAATTCTGTCAGCTGGAGAGGCGAGATTAGAAGTCTGAGATCGACATCGTCGATGCACAGGAGCGATTCGCGCGCGTGGCCGCATCTGAGGTCCGTGATTGAATCTGAGTACTCCCTTCGAACTTTCAGACTTCAGTCGTCAGAAGAATTCGGATGTTGCTTTCCCGGCGAGGGGCGGGAAGCTCATTCCGAGTGAGAAGAACAAGAAAAACGACGGAGCAGCGAGTAAGTTAAGCTGGTGCGGAGGTATGAAAATTGCCTTCACGTAGACGAGGCAGTCGGATCAATAGCTCTCCTTGCAGTTGATCCCTTCGTCTGTCGGAGATGTCGGGCAGCCTTCCCTACTGTCGAAGTTTTTTGTCGGCATTTCGAAGTGAAACACTGCAAGCCCCTGCTCGGGGGCTCCGGAACAAGCCAGGCCCATACCATCGCTTGCGATCGGTGCTCTTACGTCACGCAAGATGAGGTTGGTAGGAGGATCGAAGTCCGAAGTGATGGAAAGTACAATCGCTGTAGCTGTCAACAATCCCGTCCAAATCTTTTCCTTAGTACGATTTCGAGAAGCACAACGTGATGCACATCCGGATCAAAGGTCTCGTTCATCCGAAGAAAAACGGCTTCTATCATTGTCATCGGTGTAACTTCAGTGCACGCAGTGCCATAACGGTCTGTCATCACCTGAAAAATCATTCCCAAGAGAGAAACTCACATACGTACTTCGCGTGCACGGATTGTGACTCCCGCTTCGTGACAAGGAACGAAGTACTGCAACACCAAAGCCTCTCGCACGGTAAAAAGATATCTATCAAGCGAGCAACGCAAGCAAGTTGATGGTCGACTCTGAAACAGTGTGAAATCTCGAATCTTGGATCCCCCGACAGTTGCTTTGTACATACACGAACCGGCAATGCCCCTGACACAGCTCAGACTGCCGGGAATGTCACTCATAAAGATATGGTTTGAGATATAATGTGATAGATCAGCGAGTCTTCGAGGTCGTAGTCTTATATTCGATATAAAATTACAGGGAACCATTTATTCAATAGTCAACGATTCCACTTTGAGAATGGAGATATATCTATTTTGTCGATGACGGCTGCTGCTCCTTCGCTAGTCGCTCCTTCTCTTTCTTCTCCGCTTCCAATTTAGCTTCTTCTTCTTCGTGCGCCTTAATCAACTTCTCGACCTGGAAAGAACAAGATGGAGGCTGAGGGCCTACCGGATCGAGAACGATTGTCACGAAAACAGCGACAGCGATTTCCCACGAACCTGACTCGTCGGGAGGATGCTGATTTTGGTTTTATTGTCGACTCGCTTGAGAGTGGCGATTTCGACCTTGTCCGCTGTCAGTTTTGTCATGTCCAACGTTTTCGCCAGAACTTTGACCGAGAGCGCCAGAGCTTGGTCGAGAGTCGTTTCGTTCTCCTTGTACTCCTGCTTGAGGACAGATATTGCTGCTGGGCTGTTGTTCCCGATGCATGTGGCTTTCCATCCACTGAAGTTTCCAGACGGATCCGATTGGTACAGCTGATATCCTGCAGACAGCATTTCGTCCTCAGGAATCGGTGAAGATCGAATAATCACGACTACAGAGTATGCTGGTGTGACCTCCGTTCATACTGACCGTACTCCTTGTCCCAACCCATGTACAAGAGGGACACCCCGAAAGGTCTCTTCCCTCCGTTCTGGGTATACGACTGCTTGATGTCACACAACCAGTTGACGAGCCTTTCGACCGGGATCGACTCATCGTACTGTCTGAGGTACCTGTCAGCGGAAATCGATGAGTTCTATACTGCGCACCCAACTGGGTATCGTAAAATAATCTCCAGGACTCTTTGGGATCATTAGTCGGGAATGATGAATGATCGATCAACTTACCTCTGTGCAAGTAATCTTAGCTCATTTGTCAGAACGTTGGCATCGGACGTTATACCGGCAACACTGCATGCCATGTCGTCGTGCAGCTTATAGATCTTTTCCGAAGTGAACACCTGGAAAATAGTGATCTGTGGAGTCCCGAGCTCTTCTCCGCGACGGAGAATCCCCGCGAAAGCGGCTTGGCACCCCATTGGTACCCCGGAAACACGCACCAATTCGGCGGTCGCCGGCAATTTTCTCGTCTACGTCTACGACACTCGCCGGCCTTCAGTATTTCCTTGCACATAAATTCATTGGGCGTTCTGCGGCTCCGAGTCTGGACTTCCCGCAGTCTGAGCATTTCCAATCGCGATCCTGATAGTGAATTCCCAACCTACCTCATCTAGAAGTTTATTGGTGTTCCTCCGTTCGCTTGCCAACACAATGCCATCGGTGGCTAGGATCCCGAGACAGGTCCCGGCATGAGAGATCGCCTCCATAGCATATTCAACCTGATAGAGTCGTCCCTCAGGACTGAATATCGTGGTACGGGAATCGTAACGTCGCGCCATTGTCACTGCCGAACTTGTTGCCGAAAAGTCTTCAAAGCGCAACTCATTCACAGACAGACGATGACGAGAGAGAAAAACAAACCGGCCGACTAAACTTCACACCGAGTGGTTTCGTTTCTACGAGCGGGCAAAACGCGCCAACATTCGAAATCGAATCGAGGACAGAGGACAGCCGAATACAGGCGAAAACTTCTACGAGGTGCCGAGGAAGACGCCTGGGAACGCGAGGTAAGCTCCGGGGCAGTGGCGGATCGAGGATTTTTTTCGGGAGGGGCGGTCAATGTATTTTTGGGGGGGATTCGGGCTCCGGCCGCTCCTTTAACATGGGAGGTATAGGAAAATCGAAGCATTACAAAGGGGGCGATCGCCCGATCGTCCCTGTATCCGTTACTGCTCCGAGGAAGAACCTGAGATGGAATTGCCTACGGACGAGATAAACGGCAGTGAAGACAAACCGCACATGTGTGGATATATAGTTAGCATTGAAGAGGCTGCCTGGCTTGCAGAGCTCGACGGCAACGACTGGAGGATTTCGTGTTCCTTCTGTATCCTGCGATCCTCAGCTATTCCGGTCGAACATTCCGAATATCGGAATATACTCGGCGAAGTCCGCCGCTCTACTTATGAGTTTGAAAGTCCGCGGCATGAAGCGAGATATTCCACACGACCATCCTGACTCCGACTCCCTCCGGAACACTCGAGGTGCGCGTAATGTTTATTTGAATCGCGCGGGCACTTTTCTTCCCTTTTCCGCCGGAGGCTACCAAACACGAAACTCTCGCCGCTCGCGTGATTCCATGTGCGGTTTGTCACACGAGGCGCGCTGTGATTGATTCGCAAGTCCCCTGTAGTCAAACTCATGGAGATCTGATTCCCTAAGGGTTTGAATACTGGGCTGAAGCAAACGTCTGGGATCTTGGGAGTCACGTCTGTATTATGGCCAACATTGGTGACGGTTTAGATCCCACGGGTCTCCTAAGCGCTGCACGATTACTGGAGCGTCCAGCTGAAGAATTCGTGAACCACCAGGAAGTAGAGACACTCTGGGCCATCAAGGTATGACAGCCATACGATGACGAAGGAGCGGAAGAACAGCTCTCATCTACTAGAAATTATGGGTGTCCGATTTCCCAAAGAAACCGCGATGTCTTTCGGTGCACAAGCCCCGAAGCAAGCATTCTCGGACCTCTTGCGAATCTCTCTTCTAAGCTCACTATCGATATGAGCTATGGGTTCCGAAGGGGCGACAAAGCATTTATTGTTTTGATCTGATTCTTATGAGAATTCCTCAGGCTTCGGAGCATATGGAAGTATACTTCAACCTGCTGAAAGCTCTGGATCCGAAGGTTCTGCGTCTCACACCTGTTGACCAATTGATTTTCGACGACTTCAGTAGAACATTTGGTGACAAAAATGTGAGTTGCATACGGGAACGACTTAATCTTCGGGTGACAAATAATTTATCAGCCCCCCGCGAAATTCCTCCAAGCCTTGCATCATATCTTTATGAAACAGGGTGTTTCATACAATATTTTGACACCATCATATACACGTTTCTGCAGCGCTCGACTCACCTCATCGTTTCAGATCAATCTCGAGAAACTAGACGAGGCAGAGTTGAAGAGCGAGGCATCGAAAGCTATCTGGCGGGAGTTTTGTAACCGTTTCGAAGGTAGCGTCGAAGATTTCAACTTTGCGACGATTCTCCGTCTCGACACCTCAGGTACGAAAGTTCCATCGATCACCACGGGAGCATGGCCGGACCGTCTCGAGTCGCTTGAGCTAACCTTTCAACGACCACCAGGAGATTACAGTCCAGAGAACACGACCTTGGTTCCGAGAGTTCAATTCTACGCAATAGAGATCGCCCGGAACAGGAGTGGCCTGAACGACAGCATCAGAGAGAAATTCGGCGCCAAATCGAAACCCGTGAAAGCTTAAAGCGCCAGACAGCTGCGTCTAACATGTAAATAATGTTGATTCCTGCAATAAATTCTGTGCAAGCTTGAGAAGTATGTTCTCTGTTCAACCCTCAGTTCCTCCCACACTCCCTTTAATTTGCAGCCCTCGTGTGTTCACCAAAACATTTCGTCAATGGAGCTCCAGGGCAAGCTTCAGTCTTACGTCACCCGAACTAGCGAAGAGCTCGGAATCACTCCCATACGCGCTATTCGGCTGATTTATTCCGCGAAACGACTGTCGGACCGAACGAAGGGAGACTTCAGTGTTTTCATAACGGGACCCAGGAGCGATGAGCTTCAAGCGTTTATTCCAAGGATGATCGCGGATCTCCCGCGGCTGTCAGAATCGTGGCCGCTCCAAATTTCTGTGGTGGAGTACAGAGCAGAGTCTCCCTATGTCGACCTCATCCTCGAAAGACCATCAGCCTTCCATTATTTGTGTCGAAGAGTCGCGCGGATCCACCTACGGATTGAGAAACTCCTCAAAGATCCACCGGCGAGCGGGAAACGTTTGGTTTTCGTCAGATCTCCGAGGGAGAACGACTTCGATGGAAAGAGATCCCTTCTTCTAGTAAATTACATGCGCAGGGTCTGCCAGTTCAACGGAATCGAGACGACTTTTGAAGTGAGAACAAGGGGGAATCCAGTTGCGGAATAGGTGTCCCGGGAAAAGTTCCCTGGGCCAAAGTAGGAGTCAACTCGAGAGAAAAATCGTATTTCGCTCGTTCCCAGGAACCCGAATGGTCAGATGTATCTTGTGATAGCGGTCAAGAAGAATTCGAGACTAATTCTTGCTACGAGCAGTCTTGTGAAGGAGTAGATCTGGCGAAGTTCGTGAAAATCAGGTCAGTGACTCTTCTCGCGAATTCCTTAAGGACTCTGAGATTTCTGCTGAATGCCTTGAGGACCGACTTCATTGCTTCTCAGAGGATTGTCCGAAAAGTTTCATCCGAGTGTTGGGCTCGTTCTCAAGAACAGCCCAGCCTTCAAATTCGCTCAAGCTATCCGGCGACGTATCCATCTCGGACCCGGGGATCTCCTCTGTCACGTCGCTCCACACAGCAAGAGCTCGAATCAGCAGAAAGTCGGACTACTTCTGATGGTAAGCTCCGGCGGGGAAATATTTCATCGTTCGAGTCCGACCCGTGGGAATTAGCTTGGAACACACTCCCGCTCCCTGAAGGATCCAATCATTTTTCCAGGTTCTGGGTTTCGAAGCGAAGCAGAGTTTTCTTTTCCACGGAGGGGCGCAGGGAGGCAATTCGTCAATAGAATCGCACGAACATCGGATCGGCTCGTGAGTTCCCATCAAGGAAGTTTAAGGTCTAGTCCCGAAAAGATTCCAGAGACTGCAATGCCTGCTCTGACTTCCCCATGTTTGCCTGATCATCCTCAGACAAATCAGTCATCAGCTCCGGCAGAAAAGGATCCACGGAACCGAAGCAGTTGGAGAGGTTTTGAAAGACACAAAAATCGCATTCGATTTCCTGAGCGTCAAGCAGGCGAGTCGAGTAAAGCTTCCCGATAATCCACCGGTAAGTGCCGCATTCAGCTCGTCCCTCTTCCGGAGAGGATACGCTATTTCCACGGAGAGCTTGTTCCACTCGAAAATTCCCTGAAAATCTAATCACTCCCCTCTCAGGATTCCGATCCGGGCAGCTTTGGGGACAGAGGAGGACTATTCGTCCAATACACTTGCTCCAGATTGACCGGCATCCTCAAGAAATATGATAGATTGATATCCCAGCGCGTGTGAGTTTCCCCCTCCAATACTCCTCGGGAACCATTTCTTGATAGAACGAGGGAAAATCTCTCGACAGCCTTTTCCTACCGGATCGATATTAGGTAGAGCGCCGCGTATCGAAGATTCTCCGATAGTGAAATGGCTGCATCATGAATCATGAGATACGCGCTTGATACGAGCACCTGATGATATCTCATGATGACAATCCTGCATCAAGCATGATGTTTCGAATTTTTCGCCAATCCGGCATTCACGTCGTTCATCAAGAGCCGTTGGAGAGTGCGGGGAGAGAATTCAATTTTTTCGAACCAATGTTCCCTTCTCGATTGAACAGTTATCCTGGCTGCCTGTCCTCTGATGAGCTCTGCGCGGAAAATATGGATACTACTCATCTCTCCTCGGATCAGGAATGGAGCCTCTGGAGATCAATGTTGCGGTGAGCCGGTGGAACAATATGTCTATTAGCGGAATCGAGGATCCATCGGGTCTACAGAGGAGGGAGAAATAGAGTTGACAGATTGCGAGTTTTCCCCAAGATGTTTGACGTAAATTGTTTCTCGATTCCTCCTTAAGATTTGTGGACCTTCTCGAGAGCTCCTCAAATACTTCGCTTCCTCTATACGACCTCGATCCGTTCCCTCGGATAGACGCCGGGGCCCATACGGCCTGCGAAAGTCTTCTGTTCCTCTGCAAGGAGTTCTCTGCGTTCTATTCGAGGGTGAGCCAGACGCCATTTTTTTCCTCATGCACTGCACGCGTTTCAATGTGAACACACAGCCGGATTTCTTGTGGTGATTCTTGTGACATTCCAGGTGCGCATTCTCGTGGAAAGTCAAGCTCATGTTCTCCGCACGGTTGAGTGCCGCATTTACTTCGTCGGTATGCTGCTCAAGTTGATCAAAGCTGGCTTATGGCTCATGGGATTAGAAGCTGTTGAATACATGTAGTCCTTCAATGAGTCAGGCTGCTCGCGGGCCTCGTGCATATATATCTCAGTTGTACAAGAATGGAGGGGCAATACAGGACTTCGGACTCTCTTCGAATCCATATTATGCCCTAAAATTCATGGAATAAAATTTGATTGAGCAAAAAAATCACCAAAGATTCGCGTCGTTCCCTTTTCGGAGTTCCCTGTCCGAATATCCGACTCTCGGAACCATTATGACTGCAAGGCTGATGACGATAATCATCACATTATTTGTCATCGTCATCGAGTCTGGGAGTCGACAGACACCAATGGAGTTCTCCACATTGTTTTCACATGATATTTATTCTGGACCGAGTCTCTCGGCCCCAGTACACCGAATACGCGAATTCTCGTCCAGGATGACGGAATGTTGGGCTCATTCAGGACCTGGGGGCAGTCTACCCAAGACCATCGTGGTTGATTGACTCATCTCGATTCCGACTCGAGATCGGGAATGATCATTCATCATTTCCGCGAGGAGCAATCTTCCTCCTCAATGCACTCTCTCTTAAAATTCGTTCCGTATTATTTCTCCTCGATCCACACCTTCTTCTCGAACGCTCGTCGTCCGATCACCACGAGTATCGAATGATGTTGGGCCCGCCACCGGGAGCGGAGCCGCTCAGGAAACCACTTACGCTTGAAATCACTTTTTTCCTCATTCATTCCCGTGACAGCCCTGTAGGAGAGTTTCTCACCTGATAACCGAAGCTGGGCATGTTGGGCCGGTGAATCCTCGGGAGGGAGACCGCCTGTGGGACCAGACGATTTTTCTCTCGCGAGACTCGCCCCTGATCGAATAATGACAGCCATGAGGCAGCACGATCGTCTTCCTGATTTTTCGCTTGCTCCTCTCAGTCTCCAGAAGGCTAATGAATCGCCATCGACTTCTAGCTCCACAAACTCCGTTAGCGCCATCGGCCATACCACGTCGAATACGCCGGTTCTCGTCCGATCACCGATGTTAGGCAACGTTAGGCCCGGTCAGTACTTGGAAGGGAGACCGCTTGGGAACACCGGGTGCTGATGGCTTTTTGTCTCGATTTTTCTCACATGTTGCTCGCTTCTTGTTGACTCCTGTCAAACTTATGGTAGTCGTAACGGGAACCGATCGTTGAAATCGCTCGCGTACTCAAGCCGAGGCCCTCAACTCGATCGCGTCGCGTCGGAAACTCTGCTCATTTTCTCCGAGCAGCTCCTGATTCCTGAGTGACTCGCTTACTCTCTTAGAGTCGATTCAATGCTTTCTTTTCTTCATCTGATCCCGGAAGCTGGCTTCTATGGAAAATCAAGAGTCTCGAGCACGAGCGCGTCTGAGGGGGGAGGGGGATCTTCTCGGGCATCTGTTCCCCTCTTCGCGCCCGAGGAAAAAAACCCGAACACGCTACTGGTCTGGAGGTCGACCACGTCCACCCGTTGTGGCATCGGCGTTGCACTGTTCTGTGCGGTCTCATCCTGAATTCTGCCCTTGACCTCGAGGTGATCTAATTGGGCCGGTCGATCCTTCTGCAACAAGTTCTCAATACTGAGAGAATGAAAAGGCATCCAGCCGACAAGTCCGCCGACAAGTCCGCCGACAGCCCTCGAACGAGAAATACGCATACGTAGACCGGCTCATGTCGTGGATTCCCTCTCATCAGTCAGTGCACTCAGAGATCTCTTCGGTCGTTTATTCGAGCGGGCTCGTTGTCAGCAACGCCTCCTCATTGTGTGTGTAATCGAATCACCTAGCCAAGAATCAGGCGAGCGATCTTCGCAGAGTCGTGAACCGACAACCAGCGGAGCTCTGTGAGTCGATGTCAATCACAGCAGCACATTTCTACGAATTTGGATCCTGCTATGCGGACATCACATAAGAGTGCGCAGGTCTGATTGATGGCTCCACTTTCTGCCCGAAGCTTTTTTGGTGAAAGCACAATGTGACCCCGGTGTAGGATACGAGCGAAAATTCAACATATCAAACAGCCGACAGCTCGCTCGTCGTCGTTATGTAACTCAGAAAGCGAGACACCGGCTCTGTGGTTACGATTCCGATGGAGGTGCGCGGTCTTACGGAGAATGAGGCGCCGATTCGGACCGGACCGCCTCTCCTTGCTTTAGCGATCGGCCAATGCGAAAAAGTTCTCTCGCCTTGCCGCTCTGTTTTCCTCTCTTCTCAGAATCGTGGTGTTGGTGTGGAGCCGGTGCTAGTAGCGGCGGCGGCGGCTGCTGCCCGGTTGTCGAATGAAAACATAACAAAACTGCTGCTGCTGCTGCTGGCACACTACCGAATCGCTTCGCAATGTGAGGAGCTCGGAAAATCCCTCGCCAGACTATTTAAGAAGTATTCACATCACCAGTAAGTCAGATGCGACCCGGTGCTCGTCCGTGGCACAAGCCGATCGGGACATTTCGTTCCATTTCGACGACAAGTCTTGACCTGGTGACAGTGACTGACAGAGTTGGTGGTGTTGCCGCGAGTGGAGCTCACGTCATTCCAGTTCGAACATGGACTGTGAGCACATGGTCTGCTGCGGACGCGCTGCATTGAATGAAGTGAAGTGAGTTGTGCGGTTGAAATTAATCATGAGTGGCTTGTAGCACAGTACTGGGGCCTCAGGTCCTCTGTGCGTGGAGCGGATGCGGCTGCTTCGAGCCGATTTTAAAATGAATGCCGCTCTGGCAAAAATACGCACCGGTTGCCTTTGCAACGAAGAAACTTCAATCCTTCAGGCGATATCGCCCTCATTGCAAAGTGAGTATCCTCTCCGTCAGCGAGAGACTTCTGCTCCCCATTGGGTGCGCGGGAAGGCTCCCGAGCCCTAGAGTAATTGTGTCGAAGACAGTCGGTATCCCAATCAGGCAGGGATGATTCGTATGCATCGCAGGATGCTCGTGAGTGTCCCGTCACCACTCGAATGCTCCTTGCAGATGCACCGACTCTTGTCACCGAGCCGTACCTCCAAGCGCTGCATCTACGGACGCAATTGTGCGAAGTTGCGACAGAACGTTGTCTCTACGCCGTACCTGTTTGTAGAGCGATGTTAGAGGTACTCAAACAACTTTGCATCAAGCCCCTGATGGAAACTTTGGACCAACCCGATCAGGAGGATATACAGTGTCGTTTCCGTGAACATGCCATTGTTAGAGCCCTCGGACGGTGAGAACATCCTCCGTGTATATCGTCAGGCAGCGAGTATCGAAGATCATCGCTCCGAGAAAGACTCCCCGCGTGCTTATCGAGGTTTTCATTCTAGACAAGCGTCCTTGAGTGGAGACCACCTCCAGAAGTTATCAGAATTGATGCCACGCGTAAGACTCTACGTCCGCACCGGAGTCCTCAAGGCAAGTCACTCTAGCGCGGTGCTCGGGTTCACGCTCAGGGCAGGGCTCTCATGAATATGCTTCCATGTCCGATTTTGATCCTCGTTCAGGTGTTCTACGAAATCCTCTCGTGGAAGCGACCGCTCAACGAAAGTCTTTATCCTGAGCATCTGGGTCATGAGTGCGAAGCGAGCCAAGTGGACAACCCTCTCCGATCTCAAACCGAGCTCATCCAGGCCGTTCACGACATAATCCAGGACTGTTGGAAAGTGAGTAGAATCCCGATCTGCGCGAGGAATATTGGAAGCTCGGATCGTAGACTCGAAGGTCCCCCTTGCCATTTACAACGTATCTGACCTTCGGTATTCCAGGTTCTGAGTATTGCGGATAAAGGCGACGTAGATGATTTCCTCTTCACTCTTATCTACATGACCCCTGAGCAGGTCAAGATCTCACCCGATTATCAAATATTAATTTATCTCATGGATGAACGGGACCGAGGCATCGTTTTGAAAGCATTATGTCTTCTCGACAATGTGAGTGCATGCTTGTATGGCTGGCAAATTTTCGGAGTGTTCCTTTGAGCCCTTCCGCATTGTATCGGGCACCTGCCTATTCGAATCTAGCTCGAATTTCATCCGGAATGGTTGCAGGAGCTCTCAACAGTATTGGCTGCCTCTAGTGCTGCGGAATTTCGGAAAACGGCGGGGGAGCTCTACTCCTTAGCTGTCAATATTCTCATGATGTGCAGTGTGACGGATGGTCATTGGCAGCAGATCGAAGACTTCCTAGAACTTCAGGAGGTAATTAATCTTACTCTCTCATATCTGAAAGTCATCGAATTCATCGATTCATAATTCTAGCTAGATCGGTGCCCCCGATTCAGAAGAGGATAATTTATGAATAAGAGCATTTCCTTTTTCAGGTTGAAGACTCGTGTTTGTTGTCGACAAATAACTTGGCATTGTTACGGAGGAAATTAGTTTTGTTATTTAAAGCTGTTTGCATCAGCCCCGACGTGGCTTTGCCCATCGACAAATATCGTCTTAACCTTTACCTGGACGAAATCCTCTATCTCATGAGCGCACAAGATGATCTACTGATACAGTTCATGCTCTCTAATCTCGTGAGCTATTTGTATAACGAGCAAGAATTGCTCAACCCGCACAAAGTGTTCCTACGCTACCTCGGTATGCAGAATTTTTCGGAGCAAGAACTCATGGACCAGCTCATGTCAAGCGTTGACATGTTAGTTTACCTTCTGAAGTATCTCAAGCTCGTGTCGACCGAATGGACTCGCTTCGTTGCCACGATTGCCGAGGTCAATGGAACCAAGCAACGGAAATCCAAAGACGAGCCCGGGCCGTCGACGAGTACCAGCTCCGACGAATGCGATCCCGTCGAGCGCGTCATGGATACCCTCATCCGACTGAATCTTTTGCTACAACGATTGAATAATTCGAAACTACTGCCTTTCGACGCAGCGCCCCTGTTGAAAGTCCTCGAGAGCATCGAGTACCGATACGAAGGTACGACGGGAGTGAAATGTTCTTCGGCTTCGACTTCGTCCGCGCATCTCTCGAAAGATGAAGAAATGCCATCGACTTCGTCTTCTGCGAACGTTGCGCGCGAGCACGATACTTGCTCGGAGAGTAGCCGCAGCAGAAGTAGCAGCAGCAGTTCCTAGTTCCCAAAATCTGAAGAAGAGTGACTCCCGTGGCCGTGCTCCCGGGTTTATGGTCATGTCTTCTTCCATGTTCGTGATTCTCGAACTGATGAAATCGAAGAAAGTGTTCAGAATAAGTCGAGAATGAATGACTCGGGGATCTTCAACGTCGTTGAGATCCTCTCCCGCTGCAATCGCGTGTGTTTGTGCCGGCTTGGTTGTAAACTGAAGAGCGTATCAAGGAGCGAATGAATCACTTCGAAGACCACTAATCTAGAAAACATTGGGAGCAAGTACTAAGACGAGAGCGGGGAGCTTCGGGGGAGTCCCAGGGAGATATTTCGCGTTAAGAATAAACGGGAAAGTTCCCCGCGGACACGTAAACTGATTCCTTTCAGCATAAGCTCGACTACGCATATCGGCTCATCTTCCATTCTCAAGCTGAGCGGAACATTCAAGGGAATGAGAAAAAGTCCAAAAACAGTTTTTTTCAAGTGAGGTATTGAACGGGGTACCCAAGTCGAAATAAGGATCCGAATTTCTAAGTTTATTTCCAACACTTAGTCATTTTGATAGCACAACACCTTCCAGATATTTAGTAACACCCCCTCCTCGCCCTGACGCCTTTGATCACGATTGCCGCTCTTCGCACCAGTATACAATCATTTTACAGGAGGAGCCGCGCATAACAGGAAGCTCAGGGGAAAACTATAGGAATTGTTTCAAGGGAGATGACGATATGTCGAGAGCATGTCGATGAAAGGAAGTATCGATGAAAAAACTCGCGAATCGATCCGAGGGATAACTTACTGAGCTAGATATTATATTACTATATTCTTTGTATATAGAGGGAGGGTTGAGACAACACCTACGAGATCCGGGGCGGGTACGTCAAGGCTGCGACTTTATAAGATGCGTAACAAAGCGACGCCGATCGCCATCGGGGATTTCCTACACGAGTGACATCCCCGAGAACCGACACTTCAGGCTACGATCGAACATGGATGAGGTAACCCAGAATGAAGCGAAACGCATGGAGCAACTCCTGGGTCTCCGCCGCGATGATCGCGCATAAGATGACGGGAATTCTCTGGCAAACTTATACGGCGCGATACAAAATGTGCCTCTGTGAGCAACGCTCGCTCACGAATAACACGCAAGAACCACCGACAACATCCAGAGTGACGACAAACAATGATAATGATCCTCCAGGAGGTACGATCAGACTAGAGTCGTTGGCGACATTCCACCCGATTCAATCTGGACTCTTTCTTCGAGGAGTCGACGATCGGACTCATGGCGGAATGATTATGCACCCAGTCTTCCCTGCGGGCTAGAAATCCGTCGATAACTCGCTTTGAGGGTTATCATATCCTCTGCAACGCGAAAACCTCGTGGAGGGTTTGTACACGGCAAGTCTTAATTCTTGTCGCGGAAATCTCGAGACTTGATCGCATGCAAGCGCACTTTGAAGAATTTGGGGAGTTTTCCAGTATGCTTCTGTATGTAGTAGTCCCTGATTGTCTTGTAGATCATCAAAGTGATGAGAATGGTCATCGTGACGATGGCAACGTCCCAAGGATTGAGTTCGTAGAAGGGTGGAGGGCATAGAGTCTCCTCCTGGACCGTATATACCTCTTCTCCTCTCTTGTCGCACTGTACCGTGAAGAAATCCACGATTTCCTGCGGGAAGAAATTATACTGAACCAAATTGAATTCGGAATCGACATTCCATCATTCAAATCTGCTGTCGTATCTCTCACGTACCCTGGCTCGTTCACCGAGGAACCGCTTGAAAGGGAGCAAATCGCAGTCGCATCTCCACGGGTTGTGACCCAAGAGGAGTCTGCCCACGGAGAGCAGGGGCACACATCGGGAGGTGTTCAGCAGCTCGTCGACCAATGACTGAGGCAGAGCCGTCAAGCTAAAAATTAAAGGAGTTCAGCTCGAGATCCAACGGTAGATTGATTATTCGGGGACTTTTGAGGAGGATTGAACTTCAACACCGGGGTCAACTGCGGATAAGAGATCAATCGTGCCTTCCCCATACTATCGTTCGTGGGAGGCTCTCACCTGGCGGACGACACATCGAGCATCATGAGGTTGCAAATGTGAGGAGAATAATCATCGATGCTGGTGATTGGATTGTGGGAGGCGTTCAGATGTTTGATCGCATTATATTCTCTCCAGTGCGACTCTTCCGGTATCCGCAGGGAGGTCAGTTGATTGACTGCAGTGACACGACCACTTTTTATTTTCGTGCTCCCAACCGGATTTTCTTCGACAATGCTCTATGAATTCGTGCGCATTTCAGGACTTATACGAACCGCTGACATCCAGGTGAGTGGTTTCTCGGGGCAGACCCGCGGGCAAGCTGTCTAGTCCTCTACCGGAACAGTTCACATAAATGTCTGAGTGAATGTAACAGCTGCACCTGGCGCATATCTGAAACCGAGATGGGCCATCATAAATGAACTCTGTTGCTGATCAACAAGGGCCGCAAGATGGGACGTGAGAAAGGGACCAATAGGGAGCGAGTCCACTGAAAAAATCGACTGAATGGGGTCGCTCACCGGGCTATCGTGGAACCAGAACTGAACGAGCTTCCCATCCTTCTCGCAATGCGGTGTCCTGTTACGAAAATGAAGCATTTATTCCCTCCGAGCTCGATCCGAACTCATGATGAGCCCTCTTCAACAGATGCTTGGAATCATTGGACTCAAGGCAGACGGGGGACTTGATATCACTTTCGGAACTTTTTCATACCTGATCAACATGTCTCTGGTCCGCTGATTCAAAGTCAGATGATCGTTATCCGTGCACGACAGGGGGTTGTTTTCGAGATGGAGCTTACACTTGGACACGTTCTGAGCAGCGAACTTGGGGAACTTTCCTGGAATAACGAATGGAAATTTACCGCCTCAGCTTTCCGAGATACTAAAGGCAAGATCTGTCTCGGGAACCTCGAGCCTTGGGGATGATAAACTCACGAATAGAGTTTCGCGTGAGGTCCAAATCCTCAAGGAATTTACAGCGAGCGTACAAGACGTTGAACGCCTCTTCGGTGACTGTGCCAATTGAATTGCCGCTGAAGTTCGCCTTTCTCGTGAGACATTCGCTGGTCGCATTGAACACGGGTAAGACGCTGAGTCCACTGCAATATAGTTTCTGGTCAGACGAGTTTTTCGACTTGATTGGAATTCTTTACCGGATAATCATTCAAAACAGTTTCCGAAGAAATCACTCGCAGTCGACGCTCACCTCCTCAAGATCGAGAGGACTCCGATATTATTGACGAACAGTTTTCGGAGAATTCTTTCGTCTTCAAATTTCGAGTCCTCAATCCTCAACCTAGAATGATTCCCCGTTTAGCATCCTCCGTTTGTCGATTCCCCGCAGTAGGTTATCCTCTACGGCTTGCGTGAATCTCAATCATACAATCAGCTCGCGCTCCCTGGAGCAAAGGGGCTCCAGCGCTACTCACTCTTTGGCGATTTCCGAGGGTAGAACATCTGGCCACGAGATGTCGGTACCAAAAGTTACATTCGTCAAGATGACGTAGTCCGCATGGGGAGGGAATCCCATCAGGGGTAGATCGAGTCTGCAATCGCGCAATTCGAGAACCAGGACTTCTTCGGTGACGGTAGCTGCTTTGAGACCTCTTGTCCGTCCGATCTGAGCTGTTCTGTTTTCGTATGCTCGGCAAGATTCTCCGTCTGCGGAGGTGTCCCTGAAAAAACAGAGAGGCTTCACTTAAAAACGAGATACCTGGACGAGAGTCCATTGAGCTCATCTAGCGGAGAGGCCTGAGCCCGAGGTCACATCCACTCGGTCCGGTTGGACATTCACCCAAAAAATTCGTGCTCTCGATCTTACCTCACGCAAAGCACGAACAGAAGAATCAGGAATGACGGAGCCATGGAGTTGCCGGAGGAATACAGGGACTGCTGCTAGGAGGCCGATTCCCTTTCGAAGCTCTCTCCGCTCAGAAGTCAGTCAGCCAGAGGAAGCTGCCTCTGGGAGAATGGAATCAATGCTCAGCAGGAGCAACCAGCGGAGCTGCGATGGGGAATCAATATGCGCTCGCTCGCGGAAATTTCGGAGGACTTTGCGTATGCTCCAGCTCCTTCCTCTACGAGCAGCACCTTACCGAGTTCCCGAAACGGAGTTGACAGGTGTTCCTCTGCGGGACGAATCGTGAACTGCGCCGCGAAAACCGAATCTCACTTGTGGGAACTCACGACTGAGCTCATCTCGCCTCTCTGAACACTATGAGACTCTTCTGCGAGATGTGAAACAGTTTGCTCTTCTCTTGTTATCGTTCGGCTCTCTTGTACGACGACGCGCCCTCTCTTCTTGTTGTTGCTCGCGAGTCCCGATGGTGAGGATGCTGCCGCTGCCGCCGCCGCCGCTGCTCCGATAATGTTGGTTTGGAGATCAGATGCAACAAGTCCGAGACAAGCTCAAGGGGAAATAGACTGAACTGCTCCTAATATTGCTGAAGCGAACGGCGAAAAACCAGCCCCGACGAATCGGAGTGTTTCGGGATACGTACGTCGCGATTAAGTCGTGTTATCTTCTCCGCGAGGGACTCCTCCTATCCTAACTATGAAATTAATTCGGAGATAGGGAAAGCGTGCTTGCGCATATGATCCGGTGGTCCCTCCCTGGAGGAATCAGGGGACTGACCGAAAGCTTCAGAAACAGATCAGACTGAGTCTTTGAGGAGGAATCCCTCCCAACAAGGAGGTTCCCCGATTTCGACCGCCAAGATTACATAGGTTACAAGCTGGAGGCCGTCCCACGGATGGCTCTCGGTCCCGAAGCCGCGGAGTCGATTTGGTCTTAAGTCATCGAGCTTCGATCGCTGATTCCATTGAATAAATTAACACGCATCTGTTCTCGTGTTTTTTCTCGTGTGCTTCCGATTTCCTGGGGTTCTCAGAAACTGAAGAGGACAAAACCGCCAATAGGTTTTCCGGTGCTCGTTGCGCTCCGTGCCCAGTGGAATCATCGATCGATTGAATACCCGAGCAACTCCGGAAGTCTGCAACAGGTTCGACTCTCTGAAACGTTTTCACCGTGCCTGACTGCCCGCTAGCCGAGAATCGTAGAGCCGGCGATACCTGCTCTCCAGCTCTCTTTCCCATATGCTTGAGATCCTAGTTAGACGCAGGATTCCGCTATCGTGTCGACCCGTGAGTGTTTTCTTCTCCTCCTTTTCGTTCTTAGCATCAGTCCCTGCATCCCATAGACGTCCGTGCAATGAGCCGGCGGCAGCCCTTGCTCTCCGCTCGGTCTGCGTGTCCCTTGTCTGTGTGTGTCCGTAGCGAGTGTGTGTACGCCACCGCCTCTCTTTCACTCCAGCTGTCTTTCGCCGCCTGCTAACACCATGACAATAGTTCGGGACTCTTGCTCAGTACAAGAAGAGTTATAATGATTGGTGCGGGTGCTCGGCCCACGGACCGCGACGGATGAGTGCAAGTTGCAAGTTCAGTTATTCGTAGCACAAAAACCAGGCGTCGGCAGCAGTGGCCTTGCAGCCAGCCGTGGAACGGAGTACGGGGAGACAAGAACTCACAGGTCCGGCATCAGCCATGGCCGAAGGTGGAGTTCCGGACGCAGAGTCGGCGACGGCTGAAATTCGGAGTAAATATCCACTCCATTGGATGGTCTGGAACAATGAACATAAAGAATTGGCCGTTCGATTAAAGTCCGAAAGGGTGAGTGCGCTTGGTCATCAGGCGGCGCCTTTTTCTGAGAACGTGTGTCGCCGAGACATGTCACAGGTACCGAGTTCGATCTCCGATTCTGTCGAACCATCCAGAGTGATGGTATGAAGCTTTCGTATCCGCCCGAATCCGGATCGATTCAAGCCGGAGTCAGTCCGAAATACTTTCCGATATGTTTCATGGAACGACGATTGCGAAGGGGTTCAATAAGCCTTCATGCAGGAAACCTGTTAGATTATCGCATCGAGGTTCGCCACCTGGATTGGCTGGAAAATTTTCATACGGTGCTCTCGCCGAGGTCGCGAACAGCAGGGGTTCCGGAATCAGACTCCTTCGAATCATTTCCGGATTCATATCGCGCGGAGAGGTCCACTTCGTCGGCAACATTGATCTCGCTGCTGCGGCTCCTCCAGCAAGGAGCTCGAGCTTGGCGTCAGGCGCCCCGATACTACGCAAGAATGTTTTCCGATGAAAACCTGCTATCTCTGGCGATCTCTCGTCAAGACTCGGTCGGCTCACTCAGATCGTGATCTATCGACAAGGTGCCCGCACAACTGATTTGTTTTGATCTCTAGAAGCGACATGCGGGCACAGTTCGGTTCTCCGAATCGGATAAAAACTACTCTCAAGGGTTCTACCCTCGAGCCACACGGATCGGTCACTCGAATTTCTTTGCCCGGTTTTCCGCACAGCTGCGCGAAAGGACAATATTCCGCGTCTACTTCTCTGGGTTTATCACTGTCCGAGAAGCGACGGCCGTTCGAATCGACTGGAATATTGATACGAATAGCGACGAGTGATCTGTGTCATACCCCTGCGTCGCTCGGGGGATACCTTAAGTAGACCACGGGCAATCTGCCACAATTCTCAGAGATTGGTATGGAATTGGTTTGCTTGATACTTCCAGATGGATATCGAGGTTCGAGATCCGCGGGGTCGCTCTCCGCTCATGCTGGCTATAACCCTAGGTCACACGGAGTGCGTCAAAGTCTTGCTGGAATACGGTGCCAGTGCGAACATCGAAAACAAGGTATCTGATGTCGATTCGCGGCCAATTTCCGAAGGGGGTTTCTCGTTCGCTTCATTTCCAATGATTCCTCGTGGGCTCGAGTCGATTACATCGTAGCTCAGGGTTGAGCCGAGTTATTCAGGAGAAGAAGAGCGAAAGACTCAAACCGTGAATTCTTCAGGAAGGTTACACGGCGACTCACGAAGCTGTGGCGAACGGAGATCCAGAGCTGCTGTCATTGATTCTTCACGCGAGGGATCTCCAAAAATATCATTCGTCAGTGGCTGCCATTCCCGATTTATTGCGGCAAATCAGACACACCCAGGACTTCTACGTAGAGATGAAGTGAGCCTTGAATTATCATGTATCTAGAGAGTATATCCAGAGAATCCTCTGTTCGCGGGAAGGAGCAACGCACTTGGAAGCAGATGAGCTCCTAAAGAGAACCGAGCAATCACAGTGTGTCCATACGGAATCTGCGGCGCTTCCACAGATGGGAATTCACTTCGTGGGTTCCTCTCCTCTCCCGAGCCTGTCCGAGCGACACATACCGGATATACAAAAAAGGGGCAAATGTTAGAATTGACACGACCCTTCTCGGATTCGAGCATTCGAGCTGGCAGCGCGGGAAGAGGAGTTACATTTTCTGCGGCGAAGGTGAGACCGGGAACGCAATCTTTGAGTTGTATTATCATGAATCGCTCTCGAAACATCATTGCTCGGTTTGCTATAATAATCGATAAGCCGCTCCGGGAGCGGGCGACCCCGGGAGAAATGACACCTGGGGTTGTCGAGAGGGCTCCTCCCGAACAATCGACTCATTGGGGCCCTTTCATACTGCAGAGAAACAAGCAACTTTTTTTGAGGTCAACCACGACCTTCAGCAAGTCAGCGCTGAAGTTATGCAGGTGAGCGCTTCACCCGACTCAAAAAAGTGGAGAATTCCGCTTGAGAACGATATTCACCAAAAGATCCCTCCTCCATTTAGGTTTCGTCGGAGGCTGATCCAACAAAGGTCGTCATGTCCCTTCGACCCGATCCTGAAAATATCGCCGCACGCCTGAGTTCGCCTGTTGTTTGCACATATGTTGATACGGAAAAAATTCACTTCGAGAGGATGCGCTCGGGAATGCTCTGGAAAACCGATCGTACAGAGACTGTGAACGGTTATACTGCCAAGGTTAGTTGGTTGTGAACAAGAGGAGCTGTCTGAGCTCGCACGTCCCTGGCTGGTTCCCCGGTTCAGCCGACACGATCCAAGCTAAAATTAGGCGTCCCGTCCCTATCCAGGTGTATACGGCGAGTAATGTCGAGTTCGTCACGAAGAACCGAGTTGAGCATTTAAGCGAGGCCGATAGAAAGCGCCACAAAAATAGTCAATCGCCTCTGCAGTCTCTTCTGGGAACTCTCACGGAAGAGAAGATCGTTGCCAAAGGGAAACAAGAAGAGGTTAGGCAGCCCCGATGCTTGCGCCTCACGTCGCGGAGCACCAGCCTCCTCCTATTCTGAGCGACATACCCTAATGAGATTTGAGCAGTCCGACAGAGTTTTAAATTTTTTTCTCCAACACAGGATTTCGTCGAGTGGCGGACAAACCCTTGTCATTTGAAAGCAGAAGAATATTTCGACGAGAACGTTTCGTTAGATGATCGTGATATTGGGAGACCACGGGAAAGTGCTAACCGCATCCAAAGGTTCAGAGCAACTCTCTGGCTCTGCGACGACTATCCGTTATCCCTCGCCGAACAGGTAGACAAACGACGAAATAATTTTCGTTAGAATTCTAACCGAGGTCTTCGGGGAGATGAGGGTCGTCCGAGGAAGGATCCTCCATGAAAGACCGTCCTGCCGTTCTATGCGCGAATCGCATTCACAGAGATTCGTCGAGGTCTCATGGCCTTTGAATTATTGCAGGTCATGCCCATTGTGGACCTCATGTCGCTCAACAGTTCCCATTTCGCGAAGCTGAGGAGTTTCATAACCCTACAACTGCCGACGGGTTTCCCCGTGAAAATAGAGATCCCATTGTTCCATGTCCTCAATGCGCAAGTCACTTTCGGTGAGTCTTCACTCTGGGAGGACCTTCGATGGCTTTGTAGCTTCTCTCGAGATGACGGCGCGTCAGATCCATGAACATGATCGCTCTATTTGCTTAGCTCGATCTACGATGCAGGTAATTTGAATGGCTGCGATACGCCAATACCCGGGGTGGAAACTCGGAGCATCGATGATCGTCTGCAGTGCGTGATTGACCCTCAGGTCTTCGAAATTCCCCAAGGATATCGACGCAGTGGTGAGTACGGTCACCATGTCGCTCTCTCTACGATGATTTTCGTTCGTCTGTCTCGCCCTCCGTTTGTCGCCGCCGGCCAGTGCTCGATCCCGGACCCAAAAGCTGAGCTCCCTCGATCTCTTTCCGAAGAAGCCTTAGTTGATTCGATTGGCGTGGCAAAACCTGCCCAACTCGAGGATTCTGACAGAAGACATCGCTTTCTTTTTTCTTTTTCTGAAATGAGGGAGTGTCCGCCTCGTATCTTATTCTCGAATCCTCTCACTGATTCGTTGGCCGAACCGATCGCTCACGGAGACCTTGTTCGGCCAGAAGCTCGTGAATAGCACTTAGTCGATTGAGTAGACACTACGGCTCCTTTGAAATTTTTGGCCTCGATTCCGGGGCTCTGGCCCCGTACATTTCAGAATTCCTATTTTCTTATCATCCTACGAGAATACATTGCCAGCGAGCTGGCGACGATTTTCGCCAGATGGGTCTATGCCGTCGACTGGAAAACTGACTTTTGGATGCTTTGTTTGTTGCGCTATCTCTGTTGTTCGAAGAAAAGCTTACTGATGATGTAGAACGATAATACGGTATAATATCCGCGAAGGCGAGCGACGGCTCCTGTTCTTCCCGCACACGACAAGTCTGATGATACTAAGGGGGAGTCCGGCCTTGCCGAGACGCTCGCACAGACGGTCTCCGCAATCCCCACGCGTACCCCTAGAAGAACGGAGACAGGGAAGAGATGCGAGTCGTCAAGAAAGAACCGAGGAGAAACTTCGAAAATACTCCATACTCAATGTGAGAATCCTCTCTTTGAAGATGACAATTCGCAAGAGACTTCTGTCAGAATTTGCCGAGCTTTAATTTTTCCTCACGCAGCGAATCTCTTCGTCTTCGTTCATTCAATCATTCGATCGTTTGGAAAGGAATAAGGGGATCTCATGTCAATGATGGTCACTTCAGATCAGACGGGCTCTTCGGCTCGTTCCTCCTGCTGCTGCCGCTGCTGTTGCGATAATTTTCTGCTTCGCTTCCTTACGACGCTTCAACATCTTGCGCGATATCTATTCTTTCGGAAAGTTCCTTATTGATCCAGGGAGGAGATTTAGTCGGAGGATAATTCCGCGTAGTCCCTTTGGCGCATCGGTTTCCTTTCTTGGATGCATTAATAGAATCAATAAGTTCTCGAACACCAGCATGACCCGATTATCTGAAAAAGTACCGAGCTGAGTTTGTTTCCCGAGTGGACTCTTTCCAACGCTCATATATGCGTAGTAAACTGGACTTCATTATTTTCGCGGCCACTCTTCGTTGGAAATCGGCTCCGCGATAGGCTCATCGCGGGCCTTCCTCTGACCGAGCCGGTACCGATGTAGCGACAGAATCCGGGAGCAAAATTTGATCTGAATGAAAAAATTCCCGTGTGGTAGTTTCTCGAGGCCATTGAGATGATCCGCAGCTAGTCATTGTCGTAAATGATGGAGGCGAATCCTTTACGGCGATGCAAACGATGGAGGAATGCGGTTTTCCGCAGCCGAATCGCTCTGGATCCACGGCTTGAGCTGCTCTCGACGAGCCAATAGGGCGTCTCTGGATGTACAAAAATATTTGCATACGTCCCCAGAGGCGTAGGTAGCCGTTGACCGTATAAAGCATGTGGCGGCAGAGGAGAGCGAATCGTTTATTATCATCGGTGCGGAAGAAGCTCCCTGACTAACACTGATATTCTCTCCTGAAGCGCTTTCGGAGGCAGAAGTGAAATCTGAGAATGGTATGAGGTTAGGTAGGTGCATCATCAATTATTATTATTGATGGATCACGTGTGCTAGACCAAAGACCGCATCAGCGCAATGGAGAACTTCTGCTCGAAACCTACAGGCCAAGCTTCGACGTGCTAATTCGGTAGTCCTGGCATGCACGCATGACCTTGCTCCGAAGCTCTGACGCTTTTCGCGATACGCTCCCAAATGTTCGACCATCGGAGTCTTACTTCGGTCGCATCTCGACTAGATGCCGCCTTGCTCAGTCAGTGAGAGGGATCCCTGCGTGCACGAGTTGTCCTCCAAGGCCGGAGTATCTTTTCTCCCAACCCGGGTTTCGGAATACCTACTTTGAAACTCTATAAGAAAAAATGTTATCCTCCCTTTAGGAAACCGCGGTTTCACGATCGGTGGCGCCCGCGGGGGACGCGGCTCTTTCTACGCAGAAGAAGACGAAGACGAATTACTCCAATACGCCATCGAACAGTCGCTGGTTGACGCGAATCCGCACGAGGATAAGGTATGGCTCCCGCTGCTCACCGATCGTAGGCCTCTCCGAGTGCGAGGATTTCCCCGCGTCCAAACTTCCTGGGGATGGTCTCGATTTGACCAAGAGATCATCGACTTTTCAGGTCACTGTGTGGGAGGCACTGAATTCAGCCGAGGCGGATTTCGAAGCAGTTGAGGAAGCCAATGGGGGGAAAGTAAGATGCGACGCGAGTGGGAATTCGGCCAATAAGCTCAATGCTGTCAGCAGGATGAATCCCCCAGTAGGTCGATCCAGCTCGTTCCCGCACCCCAATCAACCTGCGAGTGCACTCAACGGCCGTCATGTTGGCCCCGGCAGACTGAACGGCGATGCCGCATCGGTCAGGTGAGCTGCGATCCGGTAACGTCCAAATCCAGGGTCGCGTGAGCTCTCCCGAATGTCAAACCGGACTCTGCGTGGGAGTTCGTGCTTCACAGAACGAACTATGATTCTTATTCATTTCCTCAGGTCAATCGGAGGCGGCGAAAGCGGCAACAGCAGCGGAGACGACGAAGAATTGAATCTCGCCATTAAGTTGAGCAGGGAACTGTGTGAAGAGGAGAAACGAAAACACCAGGAGGATGAAGAGATTCTCGCTCGGATTCTCCAACTGTCGATCACTGACAAATAGTTGACGTATACCGCATCCGGTTCCAACTGCTCACCACAGCTGCCAAGACCGACATCGTATGGGCTCCGATAGACCTTCGAAGCATGAATCGTCTCGTCACCCGATCGTAGGCCTGGAATTTCCGTGGGACGTTCGGAGGCTGCTCGGCTGAAATACCTCAATGAGGTAGGCCGCTCCTCTGTGAATTTAAAATCGGATTGAGCGGGCTGGGGATGCGGTCGGCGAACCTCTCACATCATCATCGAGGGTCCGATGGTGGACAGTAGTTTCGCACATTTCAGATAGCACGAAATGATAACTCACAATTGTAAGCGTAGTCAATACTTCTGCCAAAGCGGGACATGAATGCTCAATCGAAAACTCCCAAATAGCTTCCTTCAGCTATGGCTCCACAGCTTTTGTGCTGTTTTTTCCCCATCACCGAACTTTTCCGCCGGAATATGTGGCGCGAGGAGCCAAGGAGTGTTCCGAGTCAATGGTTGTTAAGCCGATACGTGGAGCCCCAGCGACCGCAAGTATGCGTTTTGAGCGTGTTCGATGAGTTCAGTCATTTAATAATGAAGGATGAAGTGGACAAACATGAGACGTGACCGCGGGGTGTCTCGAACTCGAAGGTACCGACGGAATACGATTAGCATGCGAAGCAAGCCGAGCCCTCAATCCGTTTCCCCGAAGTGAACAAGAGGATGTAGCTTGAAGAGTACATATTATATGTACACCTTAGTTTCTGAGGTTTCCCCCATACGCACCAAAGTTCGTCGCCACTCATGTCCATATATAGCTGAACCTTGTACCTCGGTTATCCAGCGACCGCCTTCGAAATCTTGTGAGAATCGGCAGCTCTGCGCCCCGTCGAAATTACTGAGAACGCATGCGAACGAGAGGCTTTTACTTTCCCGATAATAATTACTCGAGCCATACCTGCGATTCGCACTGTCAGTATATTCCACTTGTCACATTTTTATACGGTTAAATAAAAGTTGAGCGCGATGCTGCTGTGCTGGAATGCGCTCGTCATATTTATTCGTCGAAGCCCCCTCCTCGTCTGTCTCGCCGGCCTCAACGATCCTTGACTCATGAGGTAGCTTACGGATGGTGTTTATGAGAATAGTGTGTTATGGAGGGCGGTCTTGCAGGGATCTCAAGTTCAGGAGGGGTCAGGACTGAGGAGTCGGTCTACAATATCGGAACCTTCTATGCTGGAATCGAGCAGCATTAAGGCTACGACCCCGCTCATTCATTCTCGGGTGTTCGCACCTATGGCCCGAGCGGATCGGCTTCTCATTCCGTCGTTGGAGGTCAAGAATTGCATTGAAGAGCATACTTGAGAGAAAGACCGACCGGGAGTTGCAATTTTTCCGATTCGAGAACGAGGGGCTCCCAGGATACCCCACGTCAAGCGGACTGAAGCTCAGGGAATTCGACGTACCTACGATTGACACATCCCACCGCTTCCCCAGCCCGGCAAGTGCCGCCCCACGATCCAAGGGAATTGCCGAGATCGGAATCGCATCGTTGGATCTCTCGCTGGGAATCGCGAGAGCTGTATCCGGCTTGGCTCGATGCAAGATGCTCGCGCTCGACCGCTTATCAGAATCTCCACCGCCCCATTCGCACGGAGGGGATCACCCTTCGGATTTTCAACCGGCGCCCGAGTGCGACGAGACCGTTCGAGGCCAACGAGAAATTCTTCCGTCGTGAGAGCGAGAGGCATGCTCTTAGAAAATTGGATGAGAAGTTGAGTGACTTTTTCGATGAAAATGGTCGAAAAAACAAGAAGCACACAAACACTGAAGAGAGGAGACATCTTGTGGAAACTCTGAATGTCGAAATCTTCGAGCGTGAAGTCCGAGATAAAGTTATTCCATCGTTGCCTTGGTTTTTCTTCGCTCATTCCACGGAAGAGCCGGGATAGCTCCCTGAGTTTCTCGACATCTCGCCTCGACGGTCGAAATCGAGCAATCGACGCGAATCCACTCTGGAGAAGACGATCGACCATTGTGCTTACGCGCACCAGCACCAACAACAGCTGTCCTGTGGACTCCCTCAGCCGTCGTCTTCCCAATAAATCCGGAGATGGAAATGATTCTGTTGCCTGAGACTGTATATCGAGCTTCCTCCGACCGCGTATAGTCTCCGCCTCAAAGGTTTCCTCAAGAGATGCTGCATCTCGGGACTCAGATTGGACATACAGTTCTCCCGTACGAGTTGAAGACGAAGTTCTTTCGGATCTGCGCGAACCAAGCGGAGTCGACAGTCGAAAAGCTCCTCGGAAGCCCCGGGCATCTGCCGTTCGAGGAACGAGGACATGACAAGTTCGAGTAAATGTGTGCCACGAAGAAGGCCAGAGTCAAGACCGAATTTGCGACCACTAGATGAGAATATCGACGAACCCGGGCGCGCAATTCAATCACCGATATCATACCCTCAACCGCCCTGGCAAACGCGCCCGAGAAAGTGTCGACCCCAGCCAAGCCTTCATTCTTACGAGGAGAAGGGTAGTGAGGAGGAGGAGCACGCAGAAACGTCGGCGTCGCTCAAACGGCTCGATCAGGGCCGAAACGTCGGGATCTCGTGGACGAATCAAGGAGACACATTCGAAAAAATCTAGTCGAGACACAGAATAACGATTCGACACAAGATCATCGAGACCTTCTGAGGGGTCGCCTGTCATCAAGAAATTCGCCTCGATCGTCGTTGCATTGCACGATATCGTGGTGAGTAGCAGGGCATCCAGTTGCAGGAGCTCCCGCACAACCTTCCGCGGGACGAGTTTTGTCATCGGACACCTCTCTTCTTCCGGCAAGCAAGAATCCTTGGAACCACGCTCGATCCTGAAGATGACGTGATCGGTCGTTTGGAAGCATCCCGAGTGGCGGGAATGCTCCGCGCTCCACAAAGCGTGCTGCCGAAGTACGGTCTTGTTCTCTTCCTGATCCTCCCGTTTACGATGTGCAGCAGGCAATTAGGTCGGAAGTTCCGGAACGGGTCTGGGATGGAGGTGTCATAATGACCTTTCGGCTGAGGATGAATGTCAGGAGCAGATACGACTATGACTTTCATGGACGCGGCCAGCACATCGAGAAAGAGAGCTTCCGTCCATATGCCTGAGAATCCTGAGAACTCCTCAGAAGTCTTAACGAGGAAACACGCTTCGGTTCTGAGATTTTGCCGTCGGAGCAGGCCGTCAACGGCAACGATCAAGAGGCATGGCAACTGTACATTGTGTCGCACAGCTAAGGTCTCTGCATTCTCAATTGTACCGGACGCGTTGATAACTTCAAAGTTTTCGATCCTTGTCTGAGTCACGGAGTGGATATCGGAGAGCGCCGCGAATACAAAAGTGGGTTGGGACGGCAACATTTTCGAGATGGTCATGAAGCCGCAATCGCGGTTTGATTCATACTTTGGGAAGTCTCTCCTCACAGTTTCTCTGAGTGGGTTTTCCGCAGTAACTTGACGAGGTCAAAGTCCGGAGCCAGGGATATTGGGAAAGCATCTGTGTTGCGATTCGGCTATTCCCCGAGGGCGGATCTCTTCTGTGGTGCTGTACCAGGCCTGAGCGCGCGGCTGACCAAATCGAAGGCAAATTCCATTCGAATGATTTCAATCAACAGTCGACTCAATTCTTATTGACGCCGCTCAATTATCTGTGATTTTCACGATTGAAAAAGCTTGTTCTTCGACGACCTAGGAAACAACCCCTCCCGCGAATGACGCGACGCACAAAGGGTGTGTCAGATGCAGCGGCGTCTATTGTGTTCAGGGCTTGCACGGAGAGAGGGCGAATGCGTAACGTTGGTATACACAGCCATCCGGCGAGATTTCCTATTATTCCATGGTGTCCCCTATCTGTTCCTGTGATCGTTTCGAGAGCGCCTCGTGGATTTTTAGACGATGAACGCTTCGATCTGTACAGCTCAATCGAGGGAAAAGAGCACGGCTGCAGAGCATGGATCTTTCACGTCCGTTAATTTCCCTTCTCAAGGGTTCTCCGGCGAGGGAGTGATCTCTGTGCTTAGAGTGTCCGATGCACGCCTAATTCACGATCCTCAATCTAGATCACAATCTAGAAACCATTAACCACTAACAAGCAGATGAACAAGGTCTCCCCTCACAGAGCAATCCGATCGAGGAACGAGCACATCACGAAGCTCGAGCGGAGAAGGTCGGAGTCACCACCGAGCCGCTGAATAGCGGTCGCGAATGTCTGCCGACTTCACCCCGGAACGATATCTTGCATTGAACATTTCTCGTCCGCAGGCGAGCGAGACTCCTTTGGCGTTTCCGTGACGATTGAAATCCTTGAAGCTTTCGGTTCCGGTCGCAGCCTGAATTCTTTGTCGGGAGCAGTGCCGCTACGGCGAACGTGAACACGACTGACATCATTCTTGAGGCTGTGAGGACACCAGGCTGATCCCGTGGGAGGTCGCGATGGAATCGTCTTCTGAAGAGCGAGCCCAGGAATTATCCCGAACTCTTTAGACTTAACAGAAGCTACGGTATGGGACCCCACGGAGGGAGCGAAGCTGCGTGAATCCGCCGACTCGCAACCGCGGTCTGTCATGGTCTTCTCTCGCTGGAACACAATTCCGATCTCACACCTCATTAGCTCCGGGAGCGTCACTGCGTACTCGCTTATAAAGTAATCTGCCTCTCTCGGACCCTTCAATCAGCGTCATCAGATCAGCGCGCTCCTTCCCACGCTGGGGCCGTCCACGGTGAAATATTAGTAATCCGTTTTGGATAAACGGACTATCTGATCTTTCTCGAATGCCTCGTCGGGCGTGAATCTTCTTATTCGGCCTCCATCGAGGCCATTGTACAACACGGCCGATCGACGCCATCGGGAGAAGCCTTTCCCGCACGGAAGAGACGGTACTCGCGATCACGATTCGGGAGAGCTCGAGGGTGATCGCCGATGATACAAGAATGACACAACAGCCAAAGAGCGATCGCAACTTCCAAAAACTCTGCATATCGAAAAGCTGGCTCGCGGGATCGAAACCGATGAATTCGTCCCATAATTCTTCGATGGTCCTTCGGTAGGAACTGCCAAAAAGGAACATGGTGATATTTCCGTATTCCTCGATATCTCTTCGTGTTTCCTCTACACGAGCGAGCGATGCGAGTCCATATCGAAAGAGTCGATCAACCATTGGGCTGACGCGAGCCAAGACCAACATTAGCTGTCCCGTTGTACTCTTGAGCTTCGTTTCCTTCCACTCTCTTTGCAAATGGAAAAACCTCTGAACTGACTGATTTCTCAGCGCTTCTACACCTCTGAAGATTTCCCGCTTCAAGGTTTTCCCGGCCAGAAATCGCTGAGGATATCTCAGATTGCATAAGCAGGGCTCCTTTAGGAGTTTAGCACGGAGCTCCTCCCTG